AAAACCCTCCACAAACAGCACACACTCCCGTTCACACCGAAAGGCAATACAAAATTCCACTCTGCCACACACACATGCACATCCACATCCTCATCCACATCCGTTTCACGTAACGATCGAGGATCTCGTTGGACGAAGCAACACCAACAACAAGGCAGGCGGCAAGGGAAAGGAGACAGAGAGCGAGCGGGCGAAGGCTGGAAAGTGGAAGCTACCAGCGCTGTCTGCTGCTCTCCTGGTCCCTTTTCCAGTGTCTCAATTCCCAGTTCTCACGCGAGCACATGCCAAAAGGAACCGGGGATCAAGAGAGTCGCAGGGAAAACAATTAACAACTAATTTAAGCCTGTGCATATAATTTCAGAGTTGTGAGAGACGATGCGGAGAGGGGCGAGGGGTGCCTTATCTGCAGGAGCCGTGTGAAAAAATACGTTACATTCCTGCCACCGGTTCGGCATTTATTCCCACGCGATCCTCAACTCTCGTTTTTGTTGGTTTTTTGGAACTTCGTTTTCTCACAACGTATACTCAGTGCTGCAAGGGTACAAGAGTATATTAGGCTCTTGGAAATGTACATATGGAAGGTAAGGAGAGACCCTGTGCTGATACATACCGAAGGGTGCGCAGAAATTACTTGGGACTTTGAAATTTATTTAAATCAAGGTGAATAAATAATATTAATCATATCAATTTAATAAAACAGTTAATAATTTTATTGAAATACATTTTCTACAACTAAATTGTAACTTTAGAAATTAAAATAAAGGATCAAATATTAAATATTACTGACACATGTCTTTCAAAAGTATTTAAACACCATCCTTTGTACTACAATTTTAAATCATAGAATAAAATACCATATAAAAATGCTGTAAATTATATCCTTACAAAACAGTTAGTACTAGGTATCTCAAAGTCGTGTCACACAACCCAAAGTATTTTCTTGTCGTTTTTTGTGGCTCTTCGTTCACACGCTCGGTGCGTAAAAAAAAGAACTTCGAGAGATGAGCAAGCGATGGATGCTGTCGCTGCTTGCTGATCGCCTGTTGGAAGATCAACAAAATTCGATTGAAATTCTCACGCTCCAAGGCAAGGTATTTTACCTGCCGTGAAAGGATTACGCCCACATTAGCTGTGGGATCTTTGCCTCAAACACAAAGCAAAGATCTCTCGCTCTTCAGCTCAAAGGAGAAGTAAAGATCTCTTGATCTCTCTGAGATTTCCTCGAAATGTGGTTTTGGGTTTGCTGAAAGCCGCTTAAAAAAGGTGACACTTTCAACCCTCCTGGGTATCAAGACGATTTGAAGATGTTCTTACCCAGGCAACTACTACGATTTATTCTGTTTCCCTATTAGAGCCCAAGATATGGCACGACTTCTTTATTTCTTTGTTTGTCTTGGGTTTCCAGTCCCAAGAACAACCCTCATTTGTGTGTAGTGAGAATGTCGGCAGTAATCTTCCCTCCTCCCGAGATTGCTGTTGTCCTGGTAACGTCCAAGACATTTTGTTTAGATACTCCAAATCATGAGGGTTGCAAATGTCTTAAGCAGAAAGAGAGAGCGAGACCCAAGACACACCTTCTTGAATAGTTTCTGGTGGTAGTTTTTGGCACTTTCCTTGCTCACAGGTAAACACTGCAAAGGTGTGTCCTGCTTGCTGGTAAAACTGTTGCCCTGTTAGCAATTTTAATCGAAGCGAGGCTAGTTTTATCGAATTTGCATATTGAAACGCTTCGAAAGGAGCCTCTGAAAGTGTCCTAGCCATCTCGCTGTAACCCTGATCCTGAACACTAAAAAGTACTCCATATATAGCCAGCATTCTCACGCCCATTGAAAGTGATATGCGGGAATGTGGAATCTCAAAAAGCAACAAGAAAACTAAAAGAAATCCATAAAAAGATTTAAGATTTCCTAAGGTTTCGCGTATCAGGTTATTCCTTAAACATGATCTCAGGATCATTGGCTGAAGGATGCTGCTTGCCTAGTAGAAAATGCCTAATTAAGACGATATACGTTCTCACGCCTCGACCGACAAAAAATCGCAGCATGTGGCATACGGCGTTCCAGGAATATGTAAGCATAAAAAACGATCCCAAATAAATAAAAAGAAGATCAATTCTGAAAAGAAACGGAAGCTGGAACAGGAAATGGCAAACGGTAAGATTAGAAATCAATTTCCTGTTTGGGGAAATGTTATTTCGAGTGCTAACAAAAACCATTTCCTGTCATTAATAACAATTTCCGCAAGAATTGGTTTCGCTTCCGGTTGATCCTGCTGGTGGAAGATCTTTCCTAACGATCGTGCGCTGCTTCCGGTGGCTGTGTTTTTGGGTTTAATTATGGATTATAGGGATGGCTCTGAACCCACTTGTTGCTCCTTCTGCTAGCCTGTTTAGTAATTGTCAGTTTTAACCACCACTTGAAACGGATTCCCACGCAACAAACCCACAATTATTTTCCCATGAAAACTGAGTCGTTTTTAAGACGTGCTTCTCAAGGATTTTCCTAGTTTCCTCTATTGAAGCAACCACTTTTTGCTTCTCTGTTGGGATCCTAAAGTGTTCATTGATTTTTCACACGCCATTATCTTTGATCTGAGAAAATGTTTACAAATTTTCCCAGGACATCAACAAGTTTCCCACCGCTAGGGCTTGTTTCTTTTTCAGGTAGAATTAATTTTCCGAGAGTATTTTGTTTGCAATATCACTCCCTTCGAGTTGTGAAAATTCTGTTTTCCTGGTAAGAATTTCTGAAGTCTTGAAGACTTCAATGAATTTTCTCACAAAGATTTTACATCCCTATCTAATTTTGTACGTACACGACTTAAAGATCGTCGGAAAATTGTTCCCACAGTACCACTTAAGGAAAGCAACTGGGCTGGAAAATGTAATGTACATATGTAATTGTAAAGGTAACAGAGTTCCCTTGTGGAAAATCATGTAGAGTGTCCTGCTATTTTATATGTTCGCCTAGTACATGAGCATCTATTTTTCTTGGTCATGATGTCATTTTCACACGATCCTAGACAGAAGATTTTCCCACGGACGCATCGAAATTAAAAATGCATTTCACTTGGGTTCCCAGGCAACAGGTTGCAGGAAATGGTTTCATCGTGTGCTCCGTTGCAGCTGCAGTTTCCCAGGACCCTTTGGCAGGTACCAACTGTCTCGCTTCGTGTGGAAAACTCCGTGACCCGTGCTGCTTTCCACTCTGCTGGCCTGGTGCTTAAGTTCGAAAATATCACATCTGGTTTTGAAAATTCACACGGTTGGAAAATCGACCCAGGCAGATGAAAACGTTCCCACAGCTGCTCCGGCTGCAACCCAAAAGATAGGATTTTTTTGTTTGAGAGGAACCGTTTTTTAAGCAATGAGGGAGGGTCCCTTTTTTAAAATCAACAGGTTTCCCGGAAAATGGGTGTCCCATGATTGATCTTAGCTGCATTTTCCCAGATCCCTCGGCAACAGGTAGTTGGATTTTCGTGAAAACTTCGGTTCTGCTGCAGTTTTTCCTGTTGGCCTGGTCAGGGAGTTTTCCAACTGCTTGATAATTTCGGAAAACTCTCACGATCAGGACACATGCTTTAGCACGACTTAAGGTTAGGATCATTTTCCCGCAGCTGCCGCAGCTGCCAAATCAATTTCTTTGGCGGAAACTGTTTTTTAACGTCGCCTCTTTTTTCTTGAAAAGGACAAATGCGATTCTTTTTACCATGGGCAACAGCTGCACCTTGCCAGGTCGTCAGCAGGTAGAATTCGAAGACATTCTTCGGTGGCAGCTACTGCAATGGCTGTTGGCCTGATAAATGATTCTTCTCGGCTTGTTGGAAACTCGTTAAGTTCTCCTCAGAAGACTAAGGACCAAGCGAATGTCCTTTTGGCTTTAAGCAACAGGTCCTACTTGAGTTTCTTCGAAGAACACAGGATAACATCTGTCTCTGCACTCTCTGCTTGAATTTCTGATCTCCTATTGAAAATGGTAAAAAATTAGACAAGTCTTTGAAGATTTTCACACGGCTTAAAACTCCATCCTAAAAAACATGTTCCCATGAACATCCCAAATTTCGAGCAAACAAAGGATTACTTAGTTCTCAAACATTTTCCCAAATATCGACACATGTTGACTACCTGCTCGTGCCCATTTTCCACACGTTCTCCACACATTTCCCGGGCTCACTTACCATTTTTGCTGTTGGCCTAATACAAATTTTCAAAGGTTTCCCAAGCATCTGAAATATTTCACACGGTCCCGGCCCGTGACAATACCTCGAAGAATCATCTTCCAAGGGTTCCTATTCATTATATGTATTCAGGTTTCAAAAACCATATGTCGATCTAAGGTTCTCACGCATCTGCCAGCCAGATGTGGGAATGCGATAATAGACATTCTTTTAGTCGAAAACCCACACAAAGTTATCCCTAGTTTTATGTGATTCGAGATTCCGAGAACTAAATCCCAAGGCGGTGCCCTTTGAGTTGCCTTAAATTCCAGAGATGGGTCGTGCGGGTACCTGAAAAATCGAGTCTAGACCTTTTTTGTCATCTTATTCTGCCAGGGTTTCCAGGGCTACTGGTCTTTTGTTCGTTTCTGGGTTCCTGATATATCAGTTCCATTTGGCGGAAAGGAGAAAGAACTCTTAAGTAGAACTTAGAAAATATTTTAAGGTTATTACCTTGGAATTGATTTGCTTAAAACCAAACTTATTTTTTATCTTTCCCAAATTGATTCCATTGCTTCCTAATGTATGATAAGCTACAATTAGGATCTTAATTAAGCCTGCTGTCACTTTGATTAGCAACTTATGCTACAGAGTCATCTTCGAATCAATAAAGGTTAATCGTAAAATCAAAGTATATTTTTCATTTAAAATAGTGGCATACTTTTAGGAGGAACGAAAATTCGCCAACGGAATTGAAAATCCACCCTACTATATACCTACATATATAAATATTTGAATAATCCCAAACAAAACCTTCAAGATGAAATGTATGTTAACCTATTTCTTTACTTGAATCTCAACTCCAAGCAACCCAGATCCCTGTTGGGATTCCTTATGGTCAAATCCTTGAAATCACCGTCCTTGACGCCCACATACATTTGATGGGGGCACCTCGCTGAGCAAGAGCTCCTGCCGCAGATGTGTTCATTGGCTATGCAATCGACGACAAGTCGCCTTGTTATCCCGATGTTGTAGCTGGTGGTAAATATCGTGTTGAAGGCGCACTGCCGAGAGGTTCTTATGCGATTTCTGGCATTAGACTCTGCCTCTCCGATAAGCCTTTGAAAGTCATTCCAGCTCTTGGCGACTTCGACATCAAGCGGGATAACCTGATTTCGTATTATAAAAGTATAAAATTAAATTAATAAAATAAGCATTCCCACTTACCGCTTTCTTAAGGCAAGTGTTGAAACCCAATTGCGACTTTCTGTGGTTTCTCTCGCAGGTATTCTTGTGATTGGTCAAAATGTAGGTGGAATATCTTTTGATATTATTGCAACTATTCCGGGCACTACTTATGATCCCATCCAGATACACCTCAACCCCGCAGGTGTTCATAGAAGCCCGAAGTTGGCTGACCGAAGGCAGCACCGCACTGTAGTTGGCCACGCACTGACGGTGCCAGGAATCAATCTTCTCGTATGGCCTTATCCAGGCCCAGGCCTCCTCCACCTTGGCCTGCAACAGCTCGCTCTGCACCTTCACGGCCTGGATGTCCTTACTGAATGCTCTCCGGAAGTTGTCTATTGTGTCCTCGCACATCCTTAGCCTCTCATCGTAATGGCTTTGGTGAAGCTGCAGAAACTCCGACATGGCCTTAGTGACATCCAGAGGAGGTTCCTTGTACTCCCTGTGGGAGTACGCTGTGGCCAAGATGGCACAGCAGATAGCCACTTTCAGGTAATACATTTCGATGTTAAGTGAGTTTTAGATGACAATCAAACTGCTTTATATAGCTGGCAGGTGCCTTCTGCCAAAAATTTATATAATAATTGCTGTATTTTTTCAGCTGACTTTTAGCATTTGTCTTGAGCTGCACGCTTTTGTGATAATTAAATATCACAGGTAATATTTGTTTAATAGAAGTATTTATATTTAATTTTGGTTTGTTGGGTTGAAAGTAAACTGTTCTTTATTTCGTAGAAAAGCTTGTGGAATTTTGGAACTTCACTTTATCGCCTCGGCCAGGCGTTTGTTTGTAAAAGTTTCGTTCTTTTTAGTTAAATATATTAAATATAGAGTAAATAGGGGTTGCTAAAGAAATTTTTCTAACAGCAAACATAAATTCACCACTTTACCATTTAAGTTAATAATTTACTTTACATTTTCATCAAAACTACATCTGTTTACTTCGTTCTTGAGCCTCCATCAATTGAATCTAAACTCCAGACAACCCATGTCCGCAGAAACTGTCTTGAAGGGATTCGTGATGGTGGACTTATCCCGGACATCCGCCAAAGCTATGCCCGTGACATGGGGACAGCTGGAGAGGCAGGCAACCGAGCCGCACACCGTCTGATGTTCAATGCAGGTGTCCACGAGTCTCACTGCGATTTCCACGGCAGAACTCATGGAGTACACCTGCTTGAAGGTACATAGCCAGGAGGTTCTGACCTTCTCATTGGCCGAGCACTCGGCGCTTTTCATGTTGGCATTAAAGGTGTCCTGGTTGGTCAAGGTATACCTATTGTTGTCACCGATCTGCGGGGGGGGATTTTAATTAAATTAGCATTGATTCTAAAAAGAACTTGGATAAGAGAACACTCACCGCCTTGGTCACACACATCGTGTAGTTCAGCTTTTGAGTCGAATACAGCTTGACACAGCTGGCCAGGGAGTTCACCAGAGTCTTCGAGTACTGGGTCTTCAGCAAGTTAAGGGTGCTTTCGGCCGAGTTTAAAATGGTGCTGATCGGACTCTTGCAACTGGTAATGGATTTTCGGGCTGCGCTGATAGTTGGAAGGCTGGAGCTATAGTTCTGGACGCACTGCTTGGTCCAGGAGTCGATTTGAGCGATGGGTCCCAGGCGATCGGAGGCCTCCTCCAGCTTGAGCTGCATTGAGTCCGCCTGAACATCGATGGGCTCCAGCTGCTTGGCAAACAGGATTCGAAAGTTTTCCAACTGATACTCATAGAACTTCAACCTGTCATCGTTCTGCCGCTGGTTCTCGTGTATGTAACCATCCAGGGAGTCGGTGATGTCTGTGGCCTGGGCGACGACGCAACCCAAAAGTGAAACGATGATTGCAGCTCGTAGAAGCCTCTGGATCTGCATCTTGACTGTGAACCGAATCAGTCGAGGGTACACCCCTTATATAGACAGTTTCCGAGAGCGTTTTCTTATCAGGCACGTGCTTCCCCTGACAAAAGCTGTGACTCCCCATATTGCATTGGCTTTTGCGAATAATAAAATCACACTCTTTAATTTACAACGTTGAATTATCTTTCTTTCGAGGCTCCTAAAGTGTTTACGGTCCCAAGATTCACAAGAACTTCTTCGAATATCCCCTTATCATGGCTTTTATATTTGCGCAAGCTTGAAAACTAATTCTATTTGCAAACAGAAAGCGCCTAATAGGCTCATTTAATGAACGAATGAGGCCATTTTCTAAGAAGAAACAAAAAATATAAGCCACATTAGCTTTTAACCATGAGGTTTTAATTATTATGAGTGTGTTTTTACAGTTTATGCTATCTTGTTTGAGTTGCAAGTTCAAGTTGAGTTATGTTTTAAGGGTAAGTACACATTGTGATCAATGGAAATTCCTCATGATATTTACATTTTGCAATCTATGAGATTGTCAATCATAGCTATCTTCACTGTCAGTTCAAAAAAGGCCATACAAAATCATTGAATCGCTGTTGCTCTCTCTAAATATTATAATTATGACTGAGAATTTGCAAACCCGATCGAATTATTGTCTATAAAAGGTCACTTAATGTGTGTGGAGCCGCCCACGCCAATCGCGAACCAAGTCACCAACGGAACTTTCTAGCATCTCTGAGTCTGATTTTTTCTTGGTTTTCTATGGTTTATTAAGCATACAAATAAATATCATAAAAATTAAATACAACAAACGCTTAGGTTAGGGTACAATGCGAAACCAAAACAAACACAACTTGCAGGGTTAATTGTACAGGATCGGAATCGAATCGGATATGGGCTTAGTTCTTCACCAACTTGAATCGAGCTGCCTCGGCGTAATCCCTGGGATCCGAAAAGTTGCGCTCCGGCTTGAAGCGCACATCGTTGGGATCGGTGACGAACTCACCGCTCCAGACCGGCGGCAGGACAGTGGGCTCCGAGTTGTAATCGAAATAGTCCTGATCGTCAGAGCGATTTCGCTCCTGCTTAATGCGTGTCTCGCCGCTCTTGACAAAGGTGCCATCCCATTCGGTGGGCAGGACAATGGGCTCCGTGTTGAAACCGTAGAAGTTGTTGGTGTTGGTTACGTTCTGGTTCTGCCGACGGATCTTGGACACATTGTTGACAGCGCCATCCGGATAGACGAACTTGCCATTCCAGCCCTCGCACTTGATGGGGATATAGTCCTCTTTCCTGCGCAGCGGCATCTTGGGTTTGATTTCTTGTTTATTTACGAGTGTATTAAAGTCAAGCTGATCTTTCCGCGGCGCGCTCGCAAACACGATTGAGTTACTTTCGAGCGGGTCGTATTCTAAAATATGATTTCACCTTGTTTGAGCGCAAAAAATTAAAAAACAAAAACAAAAACAAAAACTTGTCATGTAAATGATCGGTTGTTTGCCACAGAGAGCCGCCGACCCCCGCGATTTGCTTGCGGATATTTGAATCGCTGACGTCAGGGCGCTAGTCTCAGAGCGGTTTCTTCCGACAACTTCAAACGGGTTCAGGCACTGGGAGAAATATGCTAACAGAAATGAAGGTAATCAGAATAACACGTTAATGACTTTCACTTTCAAGGCAGAAATTATCTCTGATTAAAGAAAAATGATAACTTTACTGACATTATCTTTCGCTAATATGAAAAATTACTAATTGGGTATTGCATAATGTTTACTAACCATCTATTTAGTATTTTAATCACCGATCCCTAGGTATTATTTGTTTCTTTTCCATCTATGTGTCCCTGAAATTCCCAACTAGTTCTATCAGAGTTATTTCTCATCAACTAAAAAATATATAATTATCTTACTTATGCGCTAGTAACTTAAAATTCCCAAGAAGTTATATAAAGAATCTTTGGATTTGCTTTTATTTAATAATACAATTTTATTTAATTAATAAAATTCTCAACTAGCTGAAGCTATTAATCTTTTTTTAGACAATTTCAAAATTAAGTCACATATTTCCTCAGTGTAGGTCCCGGTCGCCTCCTCCGCAGGTTCGCACTTTGTTCGGTGGCAGACAATGGCGCGTCGCTTGGCGCTCGGCTTGGCCATATAAAGTCATCGTGTCTGGCAGCTCAATGGCGCAGATCCCAGCCTCAAGCTCTGCCGGAGAGTTATGGCGGTGGCCTAGCTGTCATAGGTGTCTTATGTAAATATACGGAGATATATCTTGATTCCAGCAGATTTACGTGATTCATTTGTGGAAATGGCAGAAAAAATAATACTTGTTCTGGAGGTGTTTCGCAATTAGAATGTTATTTATTTTTGGTAGCTTGGCAATCTATTTCTGTAGATAAATAATAAATATATAATCAAGAATAATTGAGATATTGCTTCCCGTTTTGCAGGTAAAAACTATTGTTGGCCTTAGAAGGTATTGCATTTATTAGCATTTTATTATTCAGAGCCTTATAGGGTGGTTTATTATAAAATCGAATTGGTTTGGTTTGGGGGAAGTTGTACTAACTGTATTAGCATTATCTAAATTATACTTTTTACTAATTTTCTTTATAAGTAACTTTATAATGCATAATCTATTAACTTTATCGGTTTACAAGTTTAACTACGGTGCTGTAGTCGTCTGTAAAAAAGTAAAGTAATTCAATTTAAGGCAAGACCTAGTCACCCACAATCTTATCGAGCGCATTCCTGACCCATCCCAACAACTCCAAGCCAAGTTATGACTGCCTTTGGGCCATTACTCATTTCCGACGTTGGTTCGTGTCCATGCTAATTGCTAGTCTCATCACTGATGAGTCATCAGCGTTCGCCAATTAAGCTCTGCATAGACAGCATACACTGCAAGAATATTAGGTACACTTAACAACAAAATTAAAAATTTCCTACTGTTACTATGATTAGCAATATATACTTTATATCTTTTATTGTATCTTTAAATTGTGTTACGTTATTAATAAATACATTTAATCAAGGTTGCCACTGAGAACGTGCAGGATTGCAAAATAATTCAAACTGTTAATTTATTCATGTTTTAAAATGTAATGTTATATAAAATATCAAATTAATAATAAATTTAAGATAACTTATCACATGAAAAACATTTCAAATGATGTAAACATAACTATACTTAATACTCCTCCATAACACAGCATTATAAACATTGAATTAACTTTGAATTAGGTTAAGTTGCCAAAAATTAAGGAAACAGTACACTAGTCTAATAAACACTTAACTATTTTTTAAATAAAAAAAAAATTAAAAAACGTATATTTCATTGCATACTTTCAGGAACGGTTAAAATAGTTGGAATTTTGAATAGCTCTTCTTGGTTTCTATATACTTTCATCTATCCATTAATTTTTTATGTGTAATAAGTGTATTTAATATGAAATTATTATTTTCCTAATGTTTTTTTTTGCAGTGCTGCTCCTCTGCCCGTCCGCCTCCTGCTTCGCATTCCTGCTGGATGTGGATGCGTGGCTGGCTTACCTGCCGGATTGGACTTGGACTCCCTCGCTGAGGACCCGACCCATCCTCCCCCGCTCCCCCCGGCTGCCTCTTGCGGTTAACTCCTGCGCCGCTGCCTCGTTAGAAGAAGAGACAGCTATGCCGGCAGCAGAAGCAGAAACAGCGGCAGCAGCAGTTTGAAACTTTCTCATTTCGGCTCGAATGGAAGAGCAGAACGGCCTGGTCTGGCGTGGCCTGGCATGGCCCGGCATGGCCGGGCTGGCTCGTTTTCGTTAGCCGGCCTCGACGTCTGCGCATTTGCTGAGCGCCTAGTCGAAAATCCAACTAATTGCTTATTTTAACCCCTTGAAAACTGGGCGCACACACATATACCGGCGCACAATGGGACCCGGGGTCTCCGGGCCTTCGTGTTTATTAATTAACAACACAAAACCCCGAACCAACAAAAGGCCTCACAAACACACACATACACTCACACACACACGCACACAGGCCAGGCACGCTTAATCCAAGTGCTGTCTCTGGCATATTCATTAGTGTTCATTAGTGAAACAAAATGCTCATTTACTTAACTACTCCGGGACTAACGAGCTGGCTGGCTCCCTCTCCCTCTCACGCTCACCCAGCCTCCTGCTGGCGTCGTCGCAGCACTCTCTCGCCCTCCCCCCGCTCACGCCCACTGCACTTATCGGCACTCGGCAAGTCACTCGGCTCCGCAGCTCCTCCTCCGCTCCTCCCTGCCGGCCTCTCTCTCTGCCTGGGCTGGCCAGCCATCTCTCTCTCGTGTTGCCAATTAAAATTCCACTTATGCCAAGTTAACTCACTTGGCTCGTTAATTGTTGTGGCTTTTTAATTGGACCCTTTTTTCTCCTTCTGCCGCCGCCGCTGCTGCTGCTGCTGCTGCTCGCAGTTACCAGTTACCGGCTCCCCAGTTACCAGCTCCGATTCAATTGAACAACAACGGAATAAAGCGCCAACAACTACAGCGGCGACGTTCATAATGAATGGCAAAAAACAACTTGCGGGTGCTCTGCATCCATTTGGGGGCCCCCGAAAAGCCAGGCCCCTTAGTCCCCAGGCCCCCTTTGGGTCCCTCAACTACTCCTCGCTCACTGACCAGGTTTGGGTTTTTTTCAATGTCCCATTTGGATGGCTTATCGTTCAGGGTTGTCATGGTGGTCCCCATGTTAGCTAATTTAATATTCTGATTTTACGAGAGGTATTGATATATGAAAATAATTTAGCATGATATTTCCATAACTCAAACTTTATACAGGATTAGGTCGAATATTTTAGAAAATTTTTAATTTTGAAAAATATTATAGAGTTTCAAAGATTTCAAAATTCGAAAATTAGTAGTCTGAATTTTCCAATTTCCGCGGGTCAGAACAATTTTCTGTCGGTCTCTGGAACCTTTCAACCACTAGGAATTTATTTCCTCACACACAATATTAATTAAGATATACTCTCTAAATAAATATACAAGTCAAAATATGAACTTCCTTAATCCCTTTCGTCGCACTCGGCAACCCTGTTGGGGCTCTGCTTCCCGGCTCCGTTCGTTCGTTTCAACTAATGAATGAAACCGCAAGCAGTCGAGCGGCGGCAACAACAACAACGTGAAACAAAAACCCAACAAAAACCCCTAATTAAAATGCATTTTCATTTGGGACTTCAGAGTGCCGTCAGCTCCTGTCCTCTCCTCCTCCTTTTTTGCTCCCTCCTTCCTTCCACTGGATCCAGTCTGGCAGAGGCGTACGCCAAAAGGGGATCATTTGGGCGCAGGCATTTACTGGGTATGCTCCCCCCGGCAGAAGGCGCCACTGAGCGTCTCGTGAACCGTTATGCCATTGTACACACACAGGAACACAAACGCACGCATAGTTTGAAGACCCCCCCCCAGCCATCACAGCTCAGCCCCTTCCATCGCTTGACTCTGAATGGCTGCGGGCATATTTAATTACAAAAGCTGCTAATTAGGAAACGTACACACCCACGATGGTTAATTTGTTTGCAAACCAATTAACTCGGCGCATAGTAGCAGGCGCACAGAAAACCGCAGACAGTCGACAGGCAACTGTGACGCCGGCCGAGGCTGAAGCGGTGGCAGAGCCAGCAGCAGCAGCGGCAGCGGCAAAAGAAACGCAGCAGCAGCACAGGCAGCGGCAGCAGCAGCAAATGGTATATTGGTCGCTTAGGCCAGGCCCTCTCAGTTCAATGCTGGGGGTCGACGGAAGCCTTACATGGGCCATGGGCCTGGCCTGGCATGGTTCCCGCCGCCGCTGCCGGAAAAGCAGAAAGAACTTTCCAATCCAATCAGTGGCAGCAGCGAGCGGTGTGTGTGCTCAGTGTGTATGTGTGTGTGTGTGTATTTGGCAATCCCAGCTGCTCTAACTAACTAACAACTGTTAACGAGCCCTGGCCACAAAGATAAAGTCAAGATGAACGAGGGGTGACCCAAGAAGAAGGGGGCGCACAAAGGGGGTGCGGGCCAGCTGAAGGCATCCCAGACAAATGTCTAATAACTGAAAACGAAATTTTAATGAAAAAGTTACGTTTCATTAAGCGTGTGTGTGTGTGTGTGTTTAGATGCACTAAGAGAAAATGTTGCCAAAAACAACAAGGGTTTTTAAGAAGAAAGTAGATAGCCTTTACCTTTTTTTCCTAGCAACCTATAGTCAAAGATTTGTATTTCCCTTGAACAAATTTTTGGCAGAGACCTGATTAAGATTACTTTTTATTAAATATTTAAAAACTAAAAATTCTATGCTGTCAGTTTGTTAAATGATTAGATTTAGAGATTAGAGATAAACCTAAGGAACTTTTTTTAAGTCTAGAACCCGTTGGGAATTATAAAGTCAATATGATACTTTGAACTGTTTTTAAAAGCCATCAAATATGGAATTTAAATATATTACATCAAATATCGCATTGCATTGTAAATAAAAAGAAAGAAAACAAATTATAGTCGAAAAACAAAAAAATTGAGTATGCCTTAATCTGTAGATTTCTCTAATAAATTATATTGAAAAAATTGAAAATAAGTTAGGCTTGTTAATTTTCCAAGTCTAATATTAAATTGTTTTTATCTTAGTTGTACCATAATTTCTGCCAGTGCATGTTTGTTCTTAATAAATGAGCTAAAGTTGCTGCAAAAGTTTTTGACGCTCGTGCCGGTGGCCCGTTTATTGTTGCTGCTGCTGCTGGCTTCCGCAGTCGGACAGTTGTGCGTGCTAATGAGTAATAAACCGACATTGGTGGGTGCGGGTTGAACCCTCCAGTCGCTCCCGCAACCAACCGAACCCACTCCCATGGCCTGGACGAGCGGCAGACGTGAATGTCAGGCGAACAGACAGCAGCATTCTACTCCGGCTCGAGAGAGAGTAGTAGTGGTGGTAGTGAGTGAGGATGGGGTTGATTGGGGAGGAGTCGCTCTCCAGGGTAGCTGGAGCTGGAGCTGGAGCTGATGCTGATGCCTTTGGTTCCGGCTCAGCTTTCGCGTTAATTAGTTTTGAGCGCTCTCATTATGCAGCTACATGTGACAAGCCAACGGAGGAGGAGGACGACACCAATGTCATTTGCTATGCGAGATTGTATCTCTAGCTGCGAGCAAGCAATTTCGCTAATGAGCTTTTTTTAGCTGGCCAACAAATTTGCCTTAATTAAATTTTTCTCCTTAGATGATTACATTTTATGATGCTTTTTTCAATTAAGGAAACAGTGGCGAGAAGACATATTTTAACAATAACAAGAAAGAAAGCTAACTTCGGCACGCCGAAGTTTGTATACCCTTGCAGATATTATTTCATTGCATTCTACCTATACTTATTATGTTGAGAGTTTGACAGTTACAGTTTTACATTCCCAGTTTTACATTTTCCCTACATCTACCGATCGGTTTATATGGCAGCTATATGATATAGTTGTCCGATTTTCATAAAATTTATACCAAAATTCTGAACTTATAAAATAAGCTTATATCTCAGAGTAGATAAAAATAGTTTGAAAAACAACGAAGTTATAATTTTTTTTCTATTAATTTCCTGCTCGTTCCTATGGCAGCTATATGACATAGTCGTCCGATTTTCATAAAATTTTTACCAAAATTCAGAAATAATATAAAATGGTCATATGTAAAAAATAGTGCACATATGTTGGAAAACAGCTAAGTTATATTTTTTTTTCTAAAAATTTATCGAACATTTGTATGGCAGCTATATGATATAGAAACAGACAGACAGACAGACGGACAGACAGACAGACGGACAGACAGACAGACGGACAGACGGACATGGCTAGATCGACTCGGCTGTTGATGCTGATCAAGAATATATATACTTTATAGGGTCGGAAACGTCTCCTTCACTGCGTTGCAAACTTCTGACTGAAATTATAATACCCTGCAAGGGTATAAAAATAAAAGCAGCTAAGGAAATACACTATAAATATTTTTAAGCATTAAATGTATAATTAAAATGTTAGATTTTCAGAAAAATATATTTAAAATATTTAGAATCAAAAGAAAAATTATATACAATATAAAAACGAAGTATTTTTAATATTATAATAATTAAATTTTTTGTTTACAATATAACAATAACCCACTTACCATTCGAACTTCTTATTTAATTTAAAACCGTTTGTCATAATTATCATTATGTCCATAAAATAGTTTGATAGTTGTTACTAGTATTCATCTCTAGTAATCATTTCGAAATTCTTATATAAATTTTGACTTATTGCCAAAATAGTGATATTGCGGGACATACATATTTGCTACCTTAGCGATCATTATTGATCACTAATTCAATCATTGTGAAAGACAGAACAAAAGAAATTGATCTTAACAACTTAATAGTTCCTATGATTCAGTCTATTAATCATTTTATATATTTTTTAAAACTAGTTTTTCAAAATCTTAAAGAATTGGTATATTCTTATCATATAGATTAGGGTATTTCATAGTCTAAATTAACCCAGGCTGAAGTAAATGAAATACTGCTGATAAGGCGAAAAGGCTAAATGCGATTGCATTGCATTACACATATATCTTTACGTACATTTATATATGCATACATATGTACCATACAACGTATGGCCGACATCGGCCTCTGCTGCTTTGCTGGCAGCCCGAAACGCTCCCCCTCCCGGCAGCTACAACTACAACATAATGGCTTATCACAAAAGAGTTGACAAAACAAATATAAACGAAAACCGAACAAAGGGCAATGTGCACGGCGCGTTCGTCCCCCCTGGAGATCCCACTAACCATTCCAGCACGTGTGTTGTTGGCTCGTATTTTTCGGTTATCGTTGTATTTTCTACATAGAGAACTCTTATTTTCGGCCACCTGTCGCCGGTCGCTGGGCGCCTGTTGCGCTGGCAAATAATCGATCGTCAGTTATTTATTGATTTCTGATTGATGGGCCGCGCATTGAAATCGAAAAACCCTTGCCTTCGATTCGATTTCAATCGAAGCGCATTAAGTGGCTGGGGGATGTATCGTACGTGGCTACGTGGGATCTTCAAGCTTGTTGGGGCGGATTAGCTAGCTTTGGTCATGCGGCCAACAGCAAACGGCAACAGGCAGAGATCGTCGGCGCTGCTGTTGGGAAATTTGAATAAAATGAACGTTACAACAACAGTAGTCGCGGTTCCCGAGGCAAAAGGTTGATAAGCGCCCAGCTTATCAATGCATAAAGCGGTTCGTGTTTGGTTAACTTTAGTTTATTCATTTTTGAAATGTCTATAACAGAAACCCAAGAAAATATATGTAAACATAAACACTTATGCGTCTAAAAACGTTGTGGGGAAAAGGGAAGATTTTGGGATATAAGTACTTGTTTTTTTTTTTAGATTTTTCATTTTTCATTCTTGTTTCTTTTCTTTAGCAAAAAACTTACGTAGCTACGCCTTAGCCTATGCAATAGTATCAATGATCGTTGAAAACCCAACACCCAAAAGTATGCTAAGTACGAACAGCCGCCTTGCTACTTGCGACTCCCCTTGCGGCACAGCTGCTGCACCGCCTGCGCTGCCGCCAGGAAACTCTTCTCGGCGTAGCGCTTTGGCCAGTCCTAGGACTCGTAGAGCAGCCGCTGATAGTGCGGCAGCACCTCATGCCGGTTCACATGCAGGCTAAACTCCAGAGCCACCAGCACGGCGAACTCCGAGGAGATCAGCTCCTTGCGATTCAGCCGAAACACGCTCTCCGTCTTTTCGATCAGGCTCTTGAGAGCATCGCCCTTCACGTCGTTCATCTTGGCGCTGAGCAGCAGGCAGGCGCCGGCGCACAGCTTGCGGTTGCTCTTATTGATCAGATTGGCCAGGATGAGCTTTTCAAAGTACACGTACGCCTGCGATATGGTCACTAGGTCGATGCGGGAGTCCAGCTTGTTGATCCGTCGCATCTCTCGCTTGATGCTGATGTTGGGAAGTAAACGGAATTAGTAAAGCTCTTTATCTGGCAATAGTTGCAATAAATACCTTCTCAGCTTGCTCAGCGTGAGCTGGATGGTGGGGAACTTCTCGCGGAACTTGTCATTTAGCTCCTTCTTCAGGTCAGAGGGCCGCACATAGTCAATGACAGAGGTCATGTAGGAGGTAAAGGTCAGCAGAGTGCGATGCTTGCCGGCAATCAATTCCGGATCGTCCAAGATGCTGGCCGAGTACTGTTGGTTCTGCAAGGAAATTCATGGAAATTGAAGTCATGCATCTTTAAAAAGCAAGGCCTAACTTACACGCACTGAGTCTCCGCCAAGGATAACGCTCTCTATGTCCATGTCCAACTTGAGGTCTGGCGTGGGACTGGCCGCACTGTTCCTGTTATTGTTCTCATACGTGAAACACCTGCGGAAAATCGGGGTATTCATTATTAATTATTGTTAGCAAGAGCCATACTATTTCGAGTAGTTAGAGTAAAGCGTGAGAAGGCGGGATCAGGTTAGTTGAAGCTCTTTGTTCGTTGGATGTGTGTGAGAGTGGGTGGCTGTGGCAGTGTTTGTGGTGGGGGAAGGGAGGTGATATTGGTTAGTTGGACTAAAAGCATTTGGGCAGACGGAACCAGGCTATGGAAAGGCCGGTCTCAGAGCCAATTTCATAGCCAGGTTGCCTGTCTTTCTTTTTGTCATATTAGCTGTTTTCAAAATTTACCATTTGCCTTGACGTTTGGTTATGGTTTTTGTGCTGAAACGAAGTAGTGCAAAGCGTTAAATGAATTAGCAAAAGTTAATGCCACATAATGTATTCAAAGTATTTTTTTTTTTTTTGTTTTTTTGGGTCAACGATTACCGAACCAAAACAAAGGAAAACAACGCAGTTAATCGATTTGTGCCTAGCTAGCAAAATACAAAGTATCTTACGATTTCGATGTTATATAAAGGTTGCAAATGTGCTGGCTCCACTCTTGATGAGTCAGATCTGGGGTCTTGGTCAGCTTTTCTTTATGTTGTCGAACACAAGAGAAAAGCAAGAAGCTCCGATTACCAAGTAATACGAGAAGCGGACAATGAAGCGTTATGTAAACAGTTTTCGATCGGAATCGGATAGGAATTGAATTTAAAAGCTATCTGTTCGGTATGGCTAACCATGCGCATATGACTCTTGATGGATGTTTTGTTCAAAATGGTTCATGGGCATGACAAAATGGAACTGATTATGTGTGTCTTCAAACAAAAATGATACGAAAGAGAAGATCCGATATAGCAGAACTGGAGCCGTCACCAACCTCGCAATGCCATGATTCTTGAGAGCAGCCGTGCTCGTGATCTCCATTTGGTTCTCGAAGATGGAGGGATTTGTCGAGGCATTGCCATGCTTCTTGCGCTCCTTTTCGTACTGACGCGAGGGTATCAGCAGGTGGCCATAGGAAATGTCCTGCAAAAGAAGAGTCTAATTATTATCCGGTTCGAGAAATTACTTCATTGGCTGGACTTACCTGACCGCTCTCGGCCTTTTGTATGCCCAGCAAATCAAATGGATCGAAGGGGGCATCATTGATAGAACTTAATGGTCGTGATGTGGATGGGTTCCTACGACGACGATCCTCCTTACGGAATTCAGCTCTGCAAATTGGAAATAATCTCATTAGGATTGCTCATTAATTAGTTAGGTTCTTCCAACTCACCTTCCATTCTTGCCCTTGTAGTAAGGCAGCGCCGAGAATATAAAGAACGGCACCTTGCGGGACACCAGCACCATTCGCTCGTCCCTTCCCTGTCCCAGACCCAGGGCCTGGCCGGCGGTTCCCCGCCGACTGTCGCTGATCTGCACCGATTTGCTGAGGCTGTTTCGGAAGCTGCCGGCAAAATTTCCCGCCGGCGTCAGGCTCTCCGTGCTACTGTCATCGGTTATGTGGCTCACACTTGATCCACTCAGAACGTAGGTGCGTTTCAGGCCGCCACCGACGGCGATGCTTGAGTTGGAGTTACCGGCGCGCATACCCGGCGCCGTATTGAGACGGGCCCTCCGCTCCGGCTGCAAATTCTGATCGCTGGCCCCATTGCTGAACGTGCTGTGGACAACAGAGAGATGTGCAGAGATCGGTTAGAATCGTAGTGATCTAAGGAGCAACAGGCGCTCAAAAATTCAAGTAGCGTGAAAAACGCGCAAAAAAGCAACAGCAAAGCGATACAAAAACGCGCTGGGCTGGACCTTGAAGGCGCTTTGCTGCTGGCTGTTTAAAAATACGTTTTCGGTATTTATAAATTCAATGACAAATGACAGAGCATAGAGAGAGACTAGGACTGGCAGCTCAGCTAGTTAACCGACAAAATATGGTTAAGACTTATTCAAGTGGTTAAATATATTTACTTTAAATGTATTTACTTATCTTAAAGAAACTTATTAAATAATAAAACGTATTGATTTTTGTATATTGAAATGAATTATATTATTAATCTTTAATAAATCTATTTATGCTATCAACTAGACAAGTTTATTCACCCTGAAAAATATATAGATTCTATAATTTCCTATCCTAAATCTAGTCTAATATTACCTTGTCTTTTACTAAACAATTCCTATTTCCAGCTCATTTTATTTATTTCCCTGAAAAGTATCAACACTGAGAGCGTGTCTATCTCCCTATGGCTTCCCCTCCTCTGACTTACGATCCGCAGCAGGGGGCCCCATCGTCACACCCCTCATGCAATGATCGATATATTCACAGGAACGCAGAAATGGAAAGACAGACAGAGCCGAGTACGATTTTCCTTTGCGTATTTAAGGGCGATCAAAGTGGCTGCTCGCTCGCTTATCGTTGCTGCTGCTGCTGGTGTGTATTTTTGGAAATCAAAAACACACTCGAAAACCAACACATGTGCCAAGTTTGTGTGCAGCAGCGGTTGAAGGGCATATGCCAGCAGCGGCAACAGCAGCCACAGCAACAAATAATAATAAAAGCAACGACGACAAGTCAATTAGCCAACTAAACTCGACGACGTCTTTGTGGAAACTGAGCGCCTGGCCGATTACCTTGGGATAATTGGTCTAGGTCGAGGTTACAGCCATCATCATCAGCAGCAGTATCTGCAGAGAGAGGGAAGGGAGACTTTATAAACTCCCGCTCCACACAAAAATCCTTGAGGTGACGATTCTGCGTTAATTAGTTGAATAAAGTGCACGAGGCGGGGAGCTCTCAAAGAACGCCACATAATAGCCCCAACCCTTGGCCAGTGCCTTCTCCAGCTACCCACCCTCGGCAATATTATGATGGAGGTGGCGCCTAGGCTGTCATAACCCGTTAATTAGTTGGAGCATTTGAACAGGCTCGCAGAAAGCAGCAGCCCGAATATATTTTTACATGCTTACAAATGTAAGCTGACTGCGAAGATAGGTCGTCGGACGAGAGGGGAATACATACATCCAAGGGCCAAGGGAAGATGACTCCAAAATGTTTATATGTGGCTATACACTGTGTGTGTGTGTGTGTGTGTGTGTGTGTGTGTGTGGAAAAGGGCCGGCAAACATTTATTTTTGTGCGTTTGCTTTGTGTTTGTGGTTCGTCTAACTTATTGACTCGCCTCGCTAATGAGTGTGCGTGTGCGAGGTGATAAGAGTTCAGTGCGTGAGCTACATGCCTCGGAGTGCAACTCTAAGTAGTTTTTGTTTCAAAAAAACTCCACCAACTAGCTTGTGCTGTACGCCTGGGCCTAAAGCAAACAATATTTAAATTCTAACAATAGTTTTTTGAGCATTTTCGAAAGTTGTGATTCAGAATCTTTTGAGTTTTTGGAAATGGAATGGAAAGGGAAATTTCCTTTTTAGGTTTTAAAAATATTTGAGTCTATTAAAAAGCATGGCAAGAGAGAGAAGATGATCAGGCCTGTTCTAGTTTCCACTTCCGCAAAATTTATTCGGATTCGGATTTCCCTGACCTGTTCTAGCGTGCACTTCCGAAAAATTTTTACGGATTCGTATTTCCCTCTGTTAAGTCTCTGTTAATTTGCAGACGAAACGCACGGAAACTTTCCGTGTGCCATTTGGCCGGCGGATTCAAATCCGCAAAATCAGAAATTAATTATTTTAAAATACAATGCGATTATGTATATTACAAATGTTAATTGTATTTTATTCCTTGAAGTTTTGGGAACATTATTGCATAATTGAATTAATTAATACTAACATACTTGATTTATAAATAATTATTTTGTGGGTGCACCTTAAAATCGGTTCGATTCTAACCTTCAACATTATTGCAAATCCGCTGCCGCTGTGTCGTATTTGAGAGGGACCATTTAAGGGTTGTCAGCGTTTCAAAAAAAAAACGGCATATATTTAAGATTAATTTCGAACAATTACTTTTTATGTTGTTTTACAATTAAAATATATGCTATTAGGTAAAGTATATGAAAAAGTGTTTTTCTTTAAAATACCAGCCAATTCAATCCACAAACTGAACTAAATTTTATGCGAAGGAAATTTTTTCTAAACCCTCGGCAACTCTACTTTCGAGCATTTTGCCACCAGAACAGCTGATTGCAATTACAAATATTTCAAAATGTTTATTTCCTGTCTTAATGCTTATTCCTTCGATTTTATTATTTAAATTAGTGCTTAATTACTATCTATGAGATGGAGACAACAGCGGGCCAAAATTTGATCAGCCCCTTTTAGCAAATCTTAGACAACGGAATCTCTTTTGTTGAAAGCGACCAGCTGATTTTGTTTGGGAATTTATGGGAAATTAAAAAAAAATTCCTTTAATCACCAAGGGAAATTCGTTTATGTTAAAGGGAAATCCGCAAATGTTATCAAATTCACTTCCGAGTGGAAACTAGAACAGGCCTGGATATGTATTTCAGATGAAAATGGCTTCCTTTAAAATGGATTACAGGGGATTGTTTGTTAAAATGTTTATATATATATTTGGGTTTTATAAAAATTATTCATGTTTATTTTAAGTATATACAAATTCTTTATCATTTATCAATCATTTAATATTGTCTCTGTTTAGTTTAATCAGTTATACTGATCATGACACTGAAATTCAATCGATAATTCTCGTATAACATTACATAACATTAAACAACAAACAAATAGATTCTACTGAAAAGAAAACTGGAAATAGATTAACAATTTAAAATTAGGAAAGCACTTTTTTCTGATTACATTGAACGATTAGTTATAAATGCCAAGATTGATAAGGTTTATTTTAAATATAAAACTGTATTTATTTCCCTAAGACCTTATCAGCCTCCAATCTAAACACAATAACAGTTCGTAAATCTGAGCTGTGCCAGACTTTCGTTTGGAGTCTCTATCTCTTTGATTAGCAAATATTTGCCAAATTACTGGTACTAAAAGCTTAAGGGGGTTTCCTGAATTAGGAGGCAAAAAAAATCGATTTTTTTTTTATTGCTTAAAACGATAGATAAACTATCTAAGAACATACCACAAAAATTTCAGAAGCCAATTCGAAGTATTTTTGAAGATACAGAGATGAAAGCAAAGGAGCGCCCAGTAGGTGTGCAGGCGCTTGGCGAACTTTGAAGCGCGTTTTCTCCACTTCACATTTTTCGAATTGGCGGGAGAGATAACTAAAAAACTTGTTGACCGATTGAAACGAATAAAGTCTTATTCTCTTTAGAATTAAATTCTCTTCTAAATAGACTACAACGGTTGTTGAAAACCGCTTTTTATATTTTTTACAGCATGTTAAAGTCAATATTTTATCCCGAAAAATGCAATATTGACTTTAACATGCTGTAAAAATATAAAAAGCGGTTTTCAACAACCGTTGTAGTCTATTTAGAAGAGAATTTAATTCTAAAGAGAATAAGCCTTTATTCGTTTCAATCGGTCAATAAGTTTTTTAGTTATCTCTCCCGCCAATTAGGGACTTCTGTGACGAGGCGCTTCAGTAAACTACTTATAAGTCCGCCATTTTGAATTTTTTTTTTTTTTTTTTTAATTTATTTAAGCACTTTAAATATGTATAAAAATATACCAAAAATTGCAAGAAGCTTGGTCGTTTCTTTACCTTCCAAAAAAAATCGCGAAAAACAGCTATTTTTTGGCCTCCTAATTCAGGAAACCCCCTTAAGTAAAGTATGCTTTTCGCATCTGTCAGAGAAGTTAAATAAATCTGGCCGGAAAGCTAAATCGAAATATAAAATATGTATGTTAAAATTGTGCTATCTTTGTTACCCCTTTCCCTTCCATTCCCTACCCCATTTGTCTTAATTGTTTAGTGGTATTAGTGTCCCGTGTGTGGTGTGTGCAATCAAGTCAACTGAGTCAATTTCGCTGGTATCAGCAGTAGCACTCGCTTTTGTTATTGTCATCGTGGCTTTGTTGTTTTTGCTGTTATCAGCTGCGGGCTATATGTGCAAACAGATGTTAATAATGGGAGTAAGTTTCTTATATAAGTTATCATTTGACCACATCACGTGCCCCTGTCTTTGTATATTTTGCAATTGAAAGCTTAAGCTGAGTTATTATTTTATAAAAGCTATGAAGAAAAAAATAAAACAAACCGAAATATGTAAATTTTCGTATAAACAAGTATTTGTTGAAAACTAAAAGCGGATGAAACCAGAAAACAGTGAGTGAAACGCTAAAAACGTTAAGAAAGCACCGTCAAAACGCTAAAAAAAAAAACGCTTTAGAAATGTTATGAAATTGCCTGAAAAATGCAGAGAATACCGCTAGGAAATATTATTAAAAACAAAGAGAACCCGTCAGCAAAACGCCTTATTTTAAATAAATATAAAAATATTTTTTTAATATATTTCAAAGAATATGGTAAAATATAAATAGAAAACCGCATGCAAAACGCTAAGAATCAGCTAGCAAAACGCCTGCAAAGCGCTAAGGAAACGCCTACAAAACGCAGGGAAAACGCCGGCAAAACGCATGCAAAACGCTAACTTATATAAAATTGAAAAGAAAAAAACTTCGAATAATGTATTGATATAAATGCTTTGTATACAAATTTTGCAAAATTTTCTAGTTGGCTTTGCTTTTCTAAATTCAAAATTCAATGCGAAGACACGAGAAATTTTCATAATTTTAATACTAGTTGCTGGAAAAAGTATTTTCCCCGAATAGATTTGAAAAACTAGAAATTTCCAAGCTGTTTAGGCAATCCAACCCAACCAATCGTTCGCGGCACTCTCTACACTGAAAACAAGGCAGCAACATGGGCGATGTTCTGAATATTGACAGCGTAATATCGCGACTTCTGGAGGTGCGCGGATCACGGCCTGGAAAGAACGTTCAGCTGCTAGAGAACGAGATCCGTGGCCTCTGCCTGAAGTCGCGCGAAATCTTCCTCTCGCAGCCCATCCTGCTGGACCTAGAAGCACCGCTCAAGATCTGCGGAGACATCCACGGCCAGTACTATGACCTGCTGCGCCTCTTCGAGTACGGTGGCTATCCGCCGGATTCCAACTACCTCTTCCTGGGCGACTACGTGGACCGTGGCAAGCAGTCCCTGGAGACCATTTGCCTACTGCTCGCCTACAAGATTAAATACTCGGAGAACTTCTTCCTGCTGCGCGGCAACCACGAGTGCGCCGCTATCAACCGCATCTACGGCTTTTACGACGAGTGCAAGCGCCGCTACAGCATCAAGCTGTGGAAGACATTCACCGACTGCTTTAACTGCCTGCCGGTGGCGGCCATTGTCGATGAGAAGATTTTCTGCTGCCACGGCGGACTGAGCCCCGATCTCACCTCGATGGACCAGATCCGGCGCATCATGCGACCCACCGACGTCCCCGACCAGGGTCTGCTGTGCGATCTCCTCTGGTCGGATCCGGACAAAGACACCATGGCCTGGGGTGAGAATGATCGTGGCGTTAGCTTCACCTTCGGTGCCGAGGTGGTGTCCAAGTTTCTGCAGAAGCATGACTTCGATCTCATCTGCCGCGCCCACCAGGTGGTCGAGGATGGTTACGAGTTCTTCGCGAAGCGCCAGCTAGTCACGGTCTTTTCGGCGCCCAACTATTGTGGCGAATTCGACAATGCCGGCGCCATGATGTCCGTGGATGAAACGCTGATGTGCTCCTTTCAGATCCTGAAGCCGGTGGATAAAACTAAAAAGTAGTGTCACACACAGCCCAACAACCGTATTTTCCTTAAAGCAAATACAATAACAACAGGGGTGAGTATAAATCTTTTAGAATCCAAACTGAAATCAACGCAACAAAAACTCTAGATGGAGGCATAGAGGAGAAGTTCAACCTGTTCTCACACCTGGCGCTTTCACTATCGGGAAAAATCTAAAGACGAACAATGAACCATTTCAAGGTACTAAACTTGTAACAATTAGTGTATTTCTGTGACATATGAGACTCTGCGGACGAATTAAATAACGAGCTATAGAAGTTATAATAATACTTTGAAATTGAATTTTATTATTAGCGGAGGTGAAAATATATATATATTAGTGATGGATGTGTTTCGATTAGTAGCTCTTAGTATACACAAGATAAAACCATTTTCTATAAGAATCTCGCCTTTTAAAATACCTCACAAAATGTCACATTTCTATATTAATTAATGCTAAACAAATATAATTTCCTTTCAACAAGAACCCGTTGCTTTAAAGTTAATTAATTGCCCAACCGATTATCGTTAAGTTCTGTATTTGTTGTGCTCCGATCCCAATGACGCACATCGTGACCATAATCAATCTATTGCTCTTGCTCCTCTCTCTTACCTCGGAGCGGAACCGTACGGAACGAAAAGCGATGTTGTTCCCGATAAGGAGCAACACATCACGGCAATTCGAGGCCCAATCAGGGCAGCCGAAAGCGGTGCGAAATAAGGCAACATATATAATAACAATAGCAATAATCGTGTTAGCAAAGGGAGCCATAACAAAAGAATATCCGTCGCGCTACTGTAAACAAACAGGGAGCACAAAGTGGAATGCCGAAAAACGCTAGCGGTTTTGGCCGCGCAAAAAAACCTCGAGAGAGCGACTTGTGTTTACATAGTCAAAGCTAATTACATAAGGCAAATAACAAAAAAATGTGTATTTACAAGTCCAAGCGAAGGCTGTCGATAAAGAAACAAATACAGACGTACTTGTTGATAGAAAACTGTATATGTATTTAATATTCTGGCTGGCCTATATATCTCTTTTATAAAACTACAGTATACATTCCCCAGTAATTATTTATAAACTAAAATAAAGAATACCACATTTAGGAATAAACCTTTTTAACCTGTCTAGATTAATACATTGTAAACCCAACCCTAAAATTGGCAAGTGAAATTCTCAAGTAAGGTTGTACCTTGTCATATGTAGCGGGCAAGATGTTGAGGCTTATAATAAGAATATAATCATTTTTTATGTTAAAAAAAGAACTAGTGAATAGGAAATATTAAATTCACTTACTTATTTAAACTAAAACTTGCACCTAAAATACTTTCGCAAAGTTAATACTGCTGGGGATAACTTGGGGATATGTTAAAACATATGTAAACGAAGCCTACGGCTTGTCTATGGACAAAAGCTCGTGTTTTTTCAAAATAGTTATGAATTAAATTAGCAAATATTAAAGGTTTTTGTTATTAGTTATTAACCAAATGAAATTAGCCATTATAATTATTTTCTTACAAAGTGTATTTACTGTACTCGCTTTCAATGAAAACTATAATGGAATATTCTCTTCTCGACCAGACTTTTTTTGCAACTTTGCTTTACTCTTCACTTCAAGTCCGCCTTTCCATACACAAAACAACTTTGGCAAGAGTGGAAATAACAACAAATAACCGAATATCAGGCAAGAGAGAACCCAACCAATCCGCTTTTAACCGCTTTTACTTGCCAAATACAGTGGAAGTCATAAACGAGCCAGAGAAGCGAAAGCCACTGAAAAAGGCCAGATAAAAAACATAATAATAGTGGGGCCATCATATGATGGAGTTGGAACAAATGTACATATATTTAATTATAATAAATATAATAAGTCGCAGTTGCTATATTAGCATTGAGGGTGTACCGATAAGAAACGTGTTCTCGCTTTATCTGCGGGGTCTTTGCTTTTGGGGAAGTCTGCGCAATGAACTCAACAAAGAAATTGCAATAAATATATACATATGTATGTATATATAGACTTATTTGCAAAATGGATTAGTAGTATCTGTGTGTCATCAAGAACTCGACTGGCTTATCATGGCCCGCGTGGAAATCAAGCTTCATGTAGGCAGCCATAAAGCTACCTATACAGAGAAGAAAATAAGCGGGTCTTAGGCTTTCAAAAGAAAGCTACAGCTACATATATTTTCTTGTATTTGTTCCTGGATTTTAATATTCTTAATAATCAAATCAAGTAGTTTTTTCCCGTTCTGAAGCTAAATAGAGTTTAAGGGGTTGCTTTTTTCCTGTTATGTAAACTAAAATGCAGTTGCAAATTGCATCTATTGTGCGCTTTCAAGCTTTTTGCACCACTGACACACATATTTCCACCCCTCAGCTCAAGGCTTGGGCACAGTCCTTTAGAGTCTGACCTTGAAAACAAAGTTTTTTTTTTCCTGGCTTCAAGGATTAGAACCTCTCATACGCACAAGTAGCTGTGCAAAACGAAAACAAACAAGGGAAACCGGTTCTTATTACGTCGTCGATTGCATAAAACTCTGCCCTCAAGGTTACCCAGTTGGAGTGGAAGAGCTGGGGAACTGGGGAGGATTTTCTGGGTTTGGACAGGTTTGCAGACCCGACATTGACATTGACATTGGACGAGAAGGCAGGAGGCAGGAAGCAGGCTATTACGCAGTAAGGATGAGGGCCAGAAAAGCTCGGCCAAGCCAAGTTCAATGCCAATGCCAAGCTTTGGGTTTCGCCGGCTGAAAGTCCTTGGGTTGCCTTTCAGAGCCCAGTAGCGGCGAAAAGGGCGGGGCATTAAATCAAATTAATGCCATGACGCAACCTCTTTATGAAGAGGGAAGTGAAAAACGAGGAACAAAGCAAAATATGAATGAAGTATAAAAAATTGTTTACGTTTTTTGGCCCTCTCTCGTGTTCCCATTCATCGACATCAGCAACTCCACAAAAGCAGCTCAGGTTTCAAAACAAAAACTGGACATAAGTAGTTTGTTTTGGATTTTTCTAACTGCGTCGCAGTAGTTGTGCCCTTTTTTGCGCCAGCGCAGCTTTTTACAGAAAAATTGGTTCTTCTTCCGCTCCCAACCAAATGCCTGAGTTTCAAATAACAAAATACATTCGTTTGCAACAATTGGCCAATTTGAAGATGTGCTGAAATCGCCAGAGCTTCTTCCATCCCATTCCGGACTCCGGAGCGGATGTATGCAATTGAAGATTTGTGGGTAAAAATAATATTGTTGGGGGCAAAAATATTTTTGTTTGGATGCCGATTCGAAAGGCGAGATCTTTGGAATTTTAAGAGGAAAATAACATCAAAATAAGTTTAGGTTTAATACCCATTTGCAGTAATTACATATTATTCACCAAGTGACTCATGAATATAGTGGTTTATAACCAAAATGACACAGCAATTAGTAGTCATTAAATGAATGCATGAAAAGGGAAAATACTACTAGGTACTTGAGGGGTTTTATTGGATTTTCCTACCACCTGACATCAGAGTGCCCCTAAAGTGTCTCTGTAACGTCAATGAGATTTCTTATCGAATGATTAAATAATCTCTGTCCAGGTGAGTCTAAGAGATCTGTTGATATGGCCCGTTATACGTTATATATCAAGATCTTTGTCAAGTAATCTTATCACTACAAAGTGTATACATTTATATATTTACCATCTGTTTATATTATCGCCAGATAAGTTAACAGAAATGAATAAAGATGGTTTTTGAGCAGATAAAATGTTGATGTATTGTTTCTTAACAAGTTATAAAGAGGCTTAAACATAAACACTAGTAGATCTAAGATATTAATATAAATAAAAAACATATTTTTACTACATTTGAACAATAAATTTATTAGAAAACCGCTATTCGATTACATTAAGTGCAAAACTAGAATAAGCTTAAACGTTTGTTTGCGAAATAATTAAACTATTTTTACAGAACTAAATACGAGAGATGAAAAATCAACCACAAAAATTAAAGCCCTCTAATTTCTGATAATTACCAATCTGGCTTAGGAAAAATGATTAGACCAAATGCCACTGACAGGCCGCTGACAAGCCAATTGGCTGAATGCCAACTGCATAGTTTGGCTAAGTATGGTGAACTCTCCGATGACAATAGAGAGCCCCCAGAGACCCCATAAAACGGGTTAGACACCACCAGTTGAGTGGCACAAGCAGCCCAGTCCCGTGAAAGAAACCGAAACCGAAAATGCAAAGTAGAAATAACAAATATAATACATACATACTCATTCATACCGAAGCGTTAGCCGAGCGCGACTGCAGAGCTGCGGAAAAACAAGGTCAGTTTGTCAAAGCGCAGCGGCGAGTGCAGCGACGAATTAAGCGAGTTCAACGAAACTTGTCTGGCATTGGGAGTGAAAGCTCTCCATGGGGGACAGAATTGGGATGCATTTTCCGAAGCTTTTCGCGAAGAAAGACGGGAAGTTCAAGGAGGTTTAGCGAGCGAAATTCGCCATGCATTGAATTTAACGAGCGTCTCATTGGCACACGCAGTTTGCATTGCGTAATTATTGCGTGTCGCTTCGACAGGCTACTACTAGATAATAGATACGTACAACGATAATATCCATGATTCACCTGCTGACAACAATCGAGGGGCTGTGACAGGTCGTTTAAATGCGTGACAAAAACCCGCCACCAAACAAAAGCTCAAAATTAAATGAACACTACGCCTCTCGCCTCCATCAACATGCAATTGCGTTGAATTGTTCGGATTGTTTGAACAGCCTGAAGCCGCCTCTGCCGCTGGGCACGCTCTCTAATTTACGTTAATTGAGCTGGCACACGTCGATGAATGGAGCCGATTTCCCACACCCTCACCCTACCCTACTTAGAGTAAAATAAATTTTTGGGGCTATTTTTAGCGCCTTTTTTGCCGGTAAGCAACAGGCCCCATTGCCTAATTATGCAGAATCAGGCGTTGAAAACGTGAAGAAAATCCTCTCGGCCTCTCTGCCTCTCAGAAAACGTCACAAATCTTCGGAATAACGCTATGGCATTATTCCAATTTCACAAATCGAAATTTATAAATACTTTGGCAGCCAGCTGCGTTGGAGGATCACTGTTTTCCGTGCCTCCGCCGCTTTGTTTTCGCAGTATTTTCATCACGTTTGAGCCTTTTGTAAGCAAATTAGAGACCAAGTGTCAATTGGCTAACGCAAACTTAAGCGGAAATTTCAATTAACGGCCCGAGAAACCAACAATTCGTCGGGAAACCGACAAATCGAAGCCAATTATGACGACAGAATAATTGAATTGAACAAAAGTTCCTTGATCTATGGGTATGATTCATACTTTTCCGCTGTTCAGCCAATCAAAATAATTAAAATAAATTTTCTCGCATTTTAATAGAAAGAAAATCTTGCTTCTTGACGTCACATGTCAATCCGTTTTTGGCCAGCAACACGGCTTTATCCTCACGTGTAATGGGAAAATTTTTTGTTTAACTGAACCATTAGTGATTTATTAGGAATATTTATTAGGTTTTACAGGGAAATTAGATGCGCAGTTGTAGAAAACGGAAAAACTACCTTTAGATAAGATATAGTGGAGATTTGTATACATCTTAGTAAACCATTAGCCCAAAGTTGATTGTCATAAAAGTTAAATTAATATCATTCAGGAGATTTCAATATTGCTTTTATATTAATTATTATTTTGGTATTTAAGGCTTTTGGAAAAACTATAAAATTAATATTTAAAGGTTGAAGATTTTCCCTAGACACTTAGACGAAATTATATTGTTTATAAAGTAATGCTTGGTTGACTCACCGTTCCCTTAGTGGCAATAGCTTGCTGTTGCCAGCTCCACCGGCCACGCCACCGCCACTGCCCAGATTGGACACCTTGAGCGGTATCTTGACGCTGTCCGAATCGCTGCCGCTCTCGGCACCCGATCCCCCGCTGCCAGCGGTACAACTCCGTGCCTGTCGCTGCTTTTGCTGCTGCTGCTGCTGATGGAGCTTGTTGCTCATCATGCCCATATTGCCACTGCCCGGTACCTGGTGGTTCTGACGACCCGACGAGGTCGGTCGCTTTATGTTGCGTCTCTCGGCCGGCACAACGCAGCTGCGATTGTGATCGGCGGCCGGCAGGACGTTCATCAGGTATTGACCCATATTTTCAGTTTCACTAAAATGCCCGTCACCATCGCTGGCACCACCAGCACCGGCGGCGCACTCCTCCAGCCCGAAGCCGCCATCGATGCCCATGTGGACATCAGCGCTGCAGAGGAGCGGTGAGCAGAGGACACCACCATTCTGGTGCTGCTGCTGGGCATGGTTTTGCTGTTGATTCTGATTCTGGTGCTGCTGCTGATGAGTATGTTGCTGTTGCTGCTGCTGTGGATGCCTCTTCTGGTGGTTGTGGTGCGTGGCCGAGTGGCTGCGCTGGTGGTGATGCTGCTGATAGTGCGGATGATAGCCCCCTGAGCCGAGTCCCAGCGAGGTTGGGTTCTTATTCTGGTTGCAGAGCAGGCTGCTGCCGAATGTTGCGCCGAATTTGGTGTCCCGATGGGTGCCATCTAACGAGATATTCGATAGGAACGAGATCGCAGCCAGTCTGCGTCTGTGTCTCGTCTTGTTGAGCGAACTTGCCATTAGGCGATTAACCCTGAGTCACCAAGTGAATTTAACCGAAGGGGAATTTATTGGTTGGGTTGGGTTGAGTCCCGGAAAGCTATGCGGAATGTAAAGGTTGCACTTTTCTGGAACAGTCTGTTTGATACCTCTCTTTTTAACTCTATTTTTTCACTTTCAAACGGGTTTAATGGGTTATATTAACTGCTCTTTTTAACTGCCTGCTGTTTTTTCTTACGTGGTTTGAATAGATATGATCAATTAAGTTTTTTAGTCTCTAAACTAGCAGACAAATTAAAAAACAAACTACTTGAACGCGACATGGTGACAGATTTAAGCACTTTTTACGGAGGGAAGAGAAAAAAATAATTTGATTTGTATGCACTTTTTAAGCACTTTTATTAACTATCGTTTATGCGTCGTTGCGTTGCGTTGCTGTTTGGCTGCAAATAGAAACAAGAATAGAAGGAAAACATGGAATCAATAAATGCGGCGATATGAAGCAGCTTTTTGACCAAAAAATAAGCTTTGGCAGGGTATATTTTGTGGGGATACAGATTAAGTATATCGAGTTGCCATGGCAAAATGTTTTTTTTTTTTGCCCATATGGAATTGTTTGTTTATTTATTTGCTTCGATTTTTTCTTTAACTGTAATTTAAGGGATTGTTTTATTTTTTATTATAATAGTAACTTTGTATATGTATGCAAAATAGAGAATAGCGATTCGAGTGACTTTAAAATCATATGTTAATACTTTTTGCTCTTCTTTTAACCCTGATTTTTGGCAAACTAAATGCCAAAGTGAGAAAACTCCGTTTTGTCAACGACAAAGAAAGCTTTCTCTGGCTGCGAAAAAAGCTGCTGCATGCAGCTCAAAGCTGCAGAAAGCCATGATTTCTGCAACTTTGTTGTTGTTGCTGTTGTTACTCGGCTCAGTGTGCCACTTTTGTGGGTGGCGAGACGGAAAGATAGGGAGAGAAAGAGAGCGAGAGAGAGCTATAACCGGCAACGAAAAATCTCGAAGCGGTTTTCCGCACTTTGTTTACATTGCATTCCGAAGGAGAAGGGAGAGAGGCCCTTGAGATGCCCGAAAAATTTTCCGCAGGCAAGGCGGCACCCTCTAGCACTCTGTGGAGTGGAAAATTTTCCAGAACCGAATGAAAACAGCTGTTTAAAGCAAGCACAACAACAACAACTAAGACCCGGGAAAAGATTTTCCCGGGGGTTGGTCTTCTAATTGGATTTTTGGTTTGGCGAGCCAATTGGAATGCCGCACGGCGCGCACAAGTTTGAACCTGTCCGAACGAAAATCAATGCAGGAACGAACAAATATGTGTGCGAAAAGCATTGATGACACACAAACACACAACTAACTGCGAGTGACGTGTGTGTTTTTCTTGTTTTTACTTACCACTTGGTATCCGTTTTATCACCACTCTGTATTCTCTCGTCGTTTGATATTCGTTTTATGCTGAGAAATGTTTCAAGCGCGTCATTTTGAGCTATTTATAGTGGGTTTCGGAATAGACTTTGATTTTTTTGCCTTTTGGCTGCCAACTAGAGCTGGGAAACTATCGATGGCACTATCGAGGTATCGACTTTTTACCTTTTCTGAGCCACCATCGATAGTTGTTTGTCACTATCGATGGTGCTGGGCATTTTTGACATCACTGATATTGCGAACACGAGGCTTGGTTGACGAAAATTTTGGTAAGAAACTGCAATTTATTAAATATTACATAATTTCTAATCAAAATGGATTTTTAGATAAACTTAAATTGAACGGTGGTGGTGGCCTCAGCATGGACAAATACTTACGGAACCTTAAAAGAAAAGGTAATTATAATATTTTTATCAACAATGGCAAACATGTTAGTAATGGTTACTTGTATATGTATGTGTACCTAGATGACAACACAACAGATAAAAACAGCTCTGATGAGGAAAACGGCGGAATTAAGAAAGCAAGAGTTGGTAAATCCAAAGTGTGGAATTTTTTCGTCAGATCAAATGATGGTAAGACTGCAAAATGCATATCCTGTGAAAAAGTGTACCGTACTAGCGGAAACACTTCCAATTTGTTTGACCACCTTAAACGGGTACACCCAGCGTTGAAGGTTGGCGATCTTGAGGTGTCCTCGTCGTCAAAGATAGACTCCTTTGTGACTACATGCTATGATACGCATTCCAGACGCAAAGCCGAACTGGACAGGGTGGTCATGCGATACATCACTACAGACATGCGACCATATTCCGTTGTGGAAGATACTGGATTTCGTGAAATGCTTAAAGCTTTTGATCCTCGATATAAATTACCATCTCGAAAAACATTAAAAAATGTGATCATGGAAGAGCAGTATGCAGAAAAAAGAATTAAATTGATGGACATTTTAAAGAAAATTGACTTCTGCGGTATTACTACAGATATTTGGACTTCGGTAGCAAATGAAGCCTTTATAACTATCACATGCTCCTTCGTCACAGAAGACTTTGATCTGAAAACGGCTGTGTTGTCAACAAATAAACTACGATGCGAAACAAACCACACTGCTGAAAACATTAAAGAAACATTACAAGCAGTTTTTGATAAGTGGGATATTTCTGCCAAAATTGTAGCAATAGTAACAGACAATGCAAGCTCAATGATTAAAGCGTGTGAGTTACTTCAAAAGAGAAATATACCCTGCTTTGCGCATACTGTTAATTTAGTGGTACAAGACTGTCTCAAACTAGATTGTTTGGTCCCTTTACTTGCGAAATGTAAAAGCACGGTGACTTACTTTAAATCGAGTACTATAGCATATAAAAAGCTAAGAGACTACCAAGATGGACAAACAAAATATAGTCTTAAACAAGAGGTTCCTACTAGATGGAATAGCGCATATTATATGATTGACAGGATTTTGAAAACGCATGAGGCTATCGGCAAAGTTTTTCTAAATACGTCAAAAGCACCACAACCTTTTACTGTGGACGAATTAGACATACTTTTGGATCTAACAAAATTACTTGCTCCATTCGATACAGCTACTAAACAAGTATCTTCTAATACAGTAGTAACAATATCAATATGCATTCCTATTGCTTGTGGTCTTATGCATACGTTGGATTCCGTAAAGTCAGAACTTAAGTCTAGTGAGGGTCTAGCAGCCTGCAAATTTTTAATGGATAACATTATAACTAGACTTTCGAAATATGAAGAACGTTCGATTACGCGAATTGCAACATTAATTGACCCAAGATTTAAAAAGCAAGGCTTCCGATCTCCATTCAACTCTGGACAGGCCGAAAAGCTTTTAGAGAATGAGATGACACTCTTAAAAAATCTTTCACACGATTCCGTACTCCATGCTGTAGAGCCACCACCACCACTTCAAAACAATCAATCTCAATCCTTATTTAAATTTGTTAAACAAAATATTGAAGAATTGCCCAAGACAAAGAGGGTAGACGCAATTGTTGAGCTTCGACAATATTTTAACTTGAATCATTTGGACGAAAATGTAGATCCACTCCAATACTGGAAGGTAACTATACCAATATGCACTAACCATAAGAAGACATAATTAATAAAATTTCCTTTATTTCAGCATAATGATTCAAATATGAAGCAATTGGTACGTAAATTTTTATGTGTTCCGGCAACTTCCACTGAGTCGGAGCGAATGTTCAGCAAGGCTGGACTCATAATGAGCAAACGGAGGGCTTCGCTGGAGGCAAAAAACCTTGATGCTTTATTATTTTTGCAGAGGAATGCCTGGGTCAACTAAATATTTTCAACTGACTCTAATTTAATTTTTGTTTAAATGAGTTGAACTCAGAAAAGTTCCTTCAGCCTAATTTTGTATTACTTTGATCTCTTATTTTAAGTTGTTATTTTGTTAGTATTAAAGCATTTAATATGAAAAATATAAATTAATTGCTTTTAATAAAAAGATTGTACTAGAAACGATACTATCGATAGTATCGAATTTTCGCTCTGAAAACATCGAAAATATCGAATGGTGCCACTATCGATAGTTTCCCAGCTCTACTGCCAACTCGCCTGCGCTCTATGGCTCTCTTGTACCACCTCACCACCTCTCTTTCTCTATAGCGCCTATTTATCTGTGTGTGTGTGCACTCACGCAGCTGCCTTCGTTGCGTAAATTATGCAAAATGCAGGCCAATTACAAAAGTGTTTCCAAAAACTTCTCGGCGGAGCGGTTTAACTCGATTTATTGCGATTTATTGGGAGCGGTTATTGGACTGTGCGGAATACGCGAACGATATGAAAATCAAAAAATCGGCGGCAGCGAAGAAAACATCTGCAGACGGTGATGCGCGCTTAGCTTATTTCTGTCTAGATTTAGCATATTTCAAAATGGAAAAGCTTGCAACAACTTTATAGCCATTTAGTTCTAGCAATAATTGTACGAACGATATATGTATATTTATTAAAAAACGGTTAAAGCTGTCGGAGGATGTAGAATAACAAGAACAACTTACAAATATTCTGTTTATGCATAAATGTTGCGAGTTAATATAAGGAAAGTTATTTCATTTTACGCTGAAAACAATGTGAAAACTTTAAAATCAATTTGTTGTAATATTTTGTATGGCATTTGGGTGTAAGAATTTGTTTTTAGGAAATTTTGTACATATAATTATTTCAGATTATTTCTTCTCAGAATCTAGCTTATTCGAGGGCTTATCACTGAGGACAACACTGGCTCTCATTCAGCAACTGGCCACACTGGACAGTAAAAACAACAACGAAACGTAAACAGCTGCTCGGCCGTGTTGCCAACTTAGCTATTTTATGGTCAGATCTGGCTATTTTACAAGACTCAAAACTGGAATGCACTCAGTATAGCAGGAGCATGTTTTCTTGGTATTTTCGTAGAATAAATATACCATATTTTTTACCTATTTCAACTAACTGAATCATATGCCTGTAATGAACTAGCTTTTTTAATAATTTAATCCGTTCTTACGGTACTAGGGTCAATTGATATTGACTGTTTCATAGTAAAGTTATTCAGGGGATTCTCTATAACTGATCATATCGGCAGCTGAAAACTGTTGTTCCCATAAAATTCGGTGCAAAACGGGCCACTTTTCAAAAAATTACTGTGGCGACACGGATCAAGATAGTTTAATGAATTAAATACCATATAATAACACACCATTTGAAAATTTTTTGATAAATGTTGTATTGCAAAACATTTAGAGCCAGAGGAGTTATAGGGAATCTCCCGATTCGCCTCCTAACTGTCCACAGAATCAACCGATCTACAAATATTATACCTCATTCGTTAAAGGACAAGTGTCCCGAGGTACTCCCGTGGCGTTTTTATTTTTAAAAATTTTCCCCGATTTTTTATAAAAATTTGAAGTCAAAAGCCGGATTTTTGACCAAAAAATTAAGTTAATTTCTTAATTTAAAAATATAAAAAAAAAATAAAAATTAAGAAAGTGTGGAGTTACTTAAAAAAGTTATGTTTAAAATTTCAACATCAAATAATTAAACATCAAATAATTAAAAATTAATTTTAAACTTTCTTTTCCTCTCTTGTACCATGATTTGGTATTTTATGGTATTTATTATTTTACTTTTAATTGCACCCAGGTGGCAACCTTGTACTAACAGCTGTTTTTGCGGACGCGCATGAGAAAATTTGTTTGCGGCTTTTCGTGTTGTGAAAATAAAATCGCAGAAAATGTCAGCGAAAACGGAAAAATCGCTAAATATAGAGATTAATTTCGTAAGTTATTAGCAGAGCTCATAAAATACAGCATTGATAACATTATTTCTACCCACAGGACGAGGAGGATGTGCCGTATGAAGAGGAGATTCTACGGAACGCGTACTCCGTCAAACACTGGCTGCGCTACATAGATCACAAGGCCAAGGCGCCCAATAATGGTGTGAATCTGGTGTACGAGAGGGCTCTGAAGGAGCTCCCCGGCAGCTACAAAATCTGGCACAATTACCTGCGGACCCGGAGGAAGCAGGTGCGAGGCAAAATACCCACGGATCCCATGTACGAGGAGGTGAACAGCGCCTTCGAGCGCGCCCTTGTCTTCATGCATAAAATGCCACGCATCTGGATGGATTATGGCGCCTTCATGACCGCCCAGTGTCGAGTTACCCGCACCCGCCACGTCTTCGATCGGGCTCTGAGGGCACTGCCCATCACGCAGCACGGCAGAATTTGGCCGCTGTATCTGCAGTTCGTGCGCCGCTTTGAGATGCCGGAAACGGCGCTCCGCGTGTACCGCCGCTATCTGAAGCTCTTCCCCGAGGATGCCGAGGAGTATGTGGACTATCTGCAGGAAGCGGAACGGCTGGACGAAGCTGCCCAACAGCTGGCTCACATCGTGGACAACGAGCACTTTGTGTCCAAGCACGGCAAGTCGAACCATCAGCTGTGGAACGAGCTGTGCGACCTCATCTCGAAAAATCCGCACAAGGTACACTCACTCAACGTGGACGCCATCATCCGTGGCGGCCTGCGGCGGTACACTGACCAGCTGGGCCACCTGTGGAACTCTCTGGCCGACTACTATGTGCGCTCAGGTTTATTTGATCGCGCCAGAGATATCTACGAGGAGGCCATCCAAACGGTGACCACTGTGAGGGATTTCACCCAAGTTTTCGACGAGTACGCCCAGTTCGAAGAGCTTTCGCTGAACAAACGCATGGAGCAGGTGGCCAGCAATGAGTCTGCCACCGAAGAGGACGACATCGATGTTGAGCTGCGTCTCTCCCGCTTCGAATACCTTATGGAGCGCCGGCTGCTGCTGCTAAACAGCGTATTGCTCCGCCAGAATCCGCACAACGTGCACGAATGGCACAAACGTGTGACACTGTACGAGGACAAGCCTGCCGAGATCATCAGCACATACACGGAGGCCGTGCAGACGGTGCAGCCGAAGCAGGCCGTCGGCAAACTGCACACGCTTTGGGTGGAGTTTGCCAAGTTCTACGAGGCCAATGGGCAGGTGGAGGATGCACGGGTGGTCTTTGAACGCGGCACCGAGGTGGAGTACGTCAAGGTGGAGGATCTGGCCGCTGTGTGGTGCGAGTGGGCCGAGATGGAGCTTCGTCAGCAGCAGTTCGAGGCTGCGCTCAAACTGATGCAAAGGGCCACGGCGACACCGAAGCGAAAGGTGGCATATCACGACGATACAGAGACGGTGCAGGCGCGTCTCCATCGCTCCCTGAAAGTATGGTCCATGTACGCCGATCTGGAGGAGTCCTTTGGCACCTTTAAGACCTGCAAGGCAGTCTACGAGCGGATAATTGACCTAAAGATATGCACGCCGCAGATAATCATCAACTATGGCATGTTCCTTGAGGAGCACAACTACTTCGAGGAGGCCTATCGCGCCTATGAGAAGGGAATCGCTCTCTTCAAGTGGCCCAATGTGTACGACATCTGGAACTCCTATCTGAGCAAGTTTCTGGAGCGTTATGGCGGCACTAAGCTGGAGCGTGCGAGGGATCTATTCGAGCAGTGCTTGGATCAGTGTCCCGCCGAGCACGCCAAGTACTTTTACCTTTTGTACGCCAAGCTGGAGGAGGAGCACGGTCTGGCTAGACACGCCATGTCAGTGTACGACCGCGCCACCTCCGCTGTGAAGGAGGATGAGATGTTTGACATGTACAACATCTTTGTGAAGAAGGCGGCCGAGATCTACGGACTGCCGCGTACCCGGGAGATCTACGAGAAGGCAATCGAGTCGTTGCCCGAGCAGCACATGCGCCACATGTGCGTCAAGTTCGCGGAGCTGGAAACGAAGCTGGGAGAGGTGGATCGAGCCAGAGCCATCTACGCCCATTGCTCGCAGGTAAGCCTGTTTTCTTTACATTTTGGTCCATTTTCTTATATTTATCATGCTGTTTTTTAGGTTTGCGATCCCCGCATCACTGCTGACTTCTGGCAGACGTGGAAGGAGTTCGAGGTGCGCCATGGCAACGAAGACACGATGCGCGAAATGCTGCGCATCAAGCGCTCCGTACAGGCCACCTACAACACGCAGGTGAACATGATGGCCGCCCAATTCTTGAATACGAACAATGGCACGGCTGCCGATGCCGGAGCTGGAACAGATGCAATGCGGCAGCTGGAGGACAAGGCCCGCCAAGCGGCTGCCGAGGCCAAGCAGAAACCCACAGAGAAGGCTGCTTCCAATATAATGTTTGTGCGCGGAGAAACGCAGGGTGGGGCCAAGGACAAGAAGGACACGGTGGTCAATCCCGATGAGATTGACATTGGCGACAGCGACGAGGACGAGGAGGACGACGACGACGAGGCGGAGAACGAGGTAGCGAACCAAGAGAACCAAGCAACCGAGGCGGCAGCCACAAAAACCGATGACGAGGGTCTCGTCATGAAGAAACTGCGCTTCGAGCAAAAGGCCATTCCGGCCAAGGTCTTTGGCAGCCTCAAGCCCACCAATCAAGGCGACTCGGATGAGGATTGATTTATTTGATCATTGATTTCTGTTTAGGCTAAGAATATGTAAAGATTTCAAAGGTTTAAGAACTTCTAGCCATGCAAATCTAACCTAAATTGTTTATTTGGAATTGAAAGGATTGAAGTTGGCTTTCCGAAAAAAGTCACCTTCCTCTGGGATATCCTTCAGTTAGTCTACGTTTTAGCCAAAGGAAGCAACACACTATTCTATACAAAATTCATTAGGAACAACTTGTCAATAATTTGGTTTTATTTTTCTCGACTAACACTACCGGGACTGCGCTCTTCCCGGCCTTTGACCGGAAACCAGAGATCGTGTAACCTCTCGAAATGGCCTTCCCACGCATGATGAGCGCCCTGCAGCGGAGCCTCGGTTTGTACGGGAGGATTCAGGTGGCCAAAACTACTCAGTCTCTGGGAGTAAAAGCGAGACTCTTGACACACAGCATCCGGCCTGGTGATGTGCAAATCGTGCGCGGATTGGCGAAGGAGTGCGATCCAGTCATCAAGGGCGTGGTAGTGGGCGTGTACGCCAAGGAGGGTGACAAAAATCCCAAGCTGACGGCCAGTGGCGAGAAGTTCGACGACCGGACGCAGGGCAAGATATCGGAGCTGCTGCGAGAAACTGGCCTGGGCGGCAAGCTGGGCCAGGGTATGGTCTTCACCAATGTGGATGCAGAGTTCCGGGCTGTGGCTGTGGTGGGTTTGGGCCAAGAGGGTGCAGCCTACAACGATCTGGAGCTGATTGACGAGGGAATGGAAAATGCCCGCGTGGCCGCCGGCGTGGGGGCTCGAGCCCTGCAGCTTCAGGACTGCACAGAGGTGTTTGTGGACTCCATGGATTACCCAGAACAGGCAGCCGAGGGCAGTGCCTTGGCCATCTGGCGCGCCAACAGCAACCTGCGCCGACAGGACCGCATTCAGATTCCAAAACTCCATTTGTACGAATCGCCGGACGTAGATGCCTGGACGCGGGGATTGTTCAAAGCGGAGTCCCAGAACCTGGCTCGCCGGCTGAGTGATGCTCCGGCGAATCAGATGACACCGACCATATTCGCCCAGTCCACAGTGGATGCCCTGTGCCCGTGTGGCGTTTCCGTGGAGGTGCGAACCATGGACTGGATAGAAAACAACCAATTGAACTCCTTCCTGATGGTGGCCAAGGGCAGCTGTGAGCCGCCGGTGATCCTGGAGGTTGGCTACTGCGGTACTGCGCCCGAGGACAGGCCCATTATGCTGCTGGGCAAGGGCCTGACCTACAACAGCGGCGGCCTGAGTCTGCGGTCCAAGGACTGCATGCACACGTATCGGGGCTGCATGGCCGGAGCGGCGGTTTGTGTGGCCACCGTTCGGGCCGCGGCGGCTCTGTCACTGCCCATAAACGTGACCGCCCTGTTGCCGCTGTGCGAGAACATGCCCTCCGGCATGGCCGTGAAGCCGGGCGATGTGGTCACCCTGCTCAATGGCAAGACCATGGGCATAGTAGACACAAGCAAGGCTAGTGTCCTGGTAATGGCCGATCCCTTGCTCTATGCCCAGACCACCTTCAAGCCTCGCCTGTTGGTGGACCTGGCCACTGCAGGCTATGGCGTCTGCGCCGGTCTGGGAGGATCCGCTGCCGGTTTATTCACCAACTCGAATTTTGTGGCCAAGCAGTTTGAGAAGGCCGGCGCTTTGACGGGCGATCGGCTGTGGCGTCTGCCCCTGTGGCGCTACTTCAAGGAGCTGGTGACCCCCAATCGCAGCTTCGACATTAGCAACCGGGGACGGGGCCCCGCCTCCAGTTGCATTGCCGCCGCCGTGCTGCACGAGCTGGTGCCGTGTGCGGATTGGGCCCACATCGATAACCGGAACGTGGGCATGCTGACACGACACAATCCGTTGCCGTATTTGCTCAAGGAAACCATGACGGGCAGACCCACGCGCACGGTTATCCAGTTCCTCGTCCAGATGGCCTGCGGAGAGGCATAAATGATCGAGGACTTTTTTTTTACTGTTTTTTATTGCTTCTATTGTTTGTTTTTGGCTTTAAGTTTTCGTGTTTGTTCTGTCCCTATGTCCCACGGCTTGTTCAAAATTTAAAGGTTTCCTGTGGAAGGATGAAGTTTTAAGACAAGACCAAGATCGTCAACATATTAACGTGAGAATGGAATCTATGGAAGCCTTCTTAAGCATAATTAAATGGTTTTAATTGCCTTAATTTCTTAGTATTTTGTTTTGTTTATATCCTGTATCATTATATGGTGTCCTTATTGGCTTCAACCTCATCCCTTTGGTTGGAAAATGTCACTTTTGGTTCACATTAATTGAGCGAGAGTGCGAAATGGGAGCAAGGAAAGTGTTTTATATACATTTTACTACTCCAGCTTTTCCCAGCCCCGCCTTCTGCTCCTCGTTGGGCTTTCCGTTGACCTTTTGTTGTTGTTCTGAGGGCGGCTTATTAGCCTAATTGCGTGAAGTTGGCTTTAATGAGTCGAAAAACGGTGCCAAGCCTGGCCCCACAAAAGGCCACAAAGCAAAAGCCGCTGGCCTGTTGTGGCTTTGAATTTATGACACGGCTTTAATGGGTTAACTGGGTTAATGCTCATCCCTCAGCTCATCAACTATCTGGTAGTCTCCCCACCCTCCACTCCGCATCCTGGCCTATAGTTCTTCTCTGGGTGGAATTTTTGACAATTAATCCAACATTTCGGTCCAATTTTGGGGGGAGATAGCTGAAGATTTTTGCTACTTGAGAGGAAACGCTGGGAGGGTGTCCGACTGACTATCTTAATACGGCGACACTTTGCACAAGTCATTAGGCGTGAAATTATTATCATTTTTGAAGCATTTTTGCCATTCCCAATTGGAAAAAATACTCTTTGAAGGGTAGGGTGTACTACAAATGGAAAGAGGGAAACAATATTAAAAAAAAAGTGTTTTATAAATAGTATAAATAGTAGTAGTATAAATAGTAATAATATTACAAAATTAAATTAATAAAGATATAAAATATCCATACAAAAACTCGTATTTTTTTGTAAATAAACAAATATTTATTGCAAAATACAATTTTGAAATAAGTGTTCTAATTTAGAAATAAGAGCATTTCGTCTTCGGTTTATCTTAATTCTTTAGTGATAAGCTTAGTTTCCTTACCCTCTTAATGCGTCCCAGCAGCTGATAAGTCCGGGACTTCCCCTAGGGTTGGAGTGCAGCCAAATGAATTTCGCTAATGAGCAATCAGGCTTGAAAAAAATATTGCAAGTCGACCGAGGGCACTTTAAAGAGTCTCCTCGCCATTTGCCGCTACCATTAACCCACCACCAGGAGCAGCGTTAATCATTTACAGCCTGCCGCTGTAACACCAAGCCACAAAAGCCCAAATTATGATTATTTAAAGGCAGAACGTGGAAATTAGCGCTGGCCATTCCGAGATTCGGACAGTTGCCAAGGCAGCGGGTTCGGTTTGGTCTTTCCAAGCCCAATTCCAATCCCATCGGCCTGGTTTTTGGACGCCGACCAAGAGAACAGAGAAAATAAATGAAAATGAAATCCTTTTTCGCTGCCGGCTTGGTGTGTTTTAGGGGGCAGGGGTGTGTCCTGGAGTAGAAAGAATTGCAATTGTGATAAAATTCAGCGTAACTAATGCCGACCACAGCAAAATGCGATAAATCGCTGGCTGGGTTCATGGTTATATCCTAATGTCAGAGAGTCCATTTATTATATGAATTTTTAAGCATTATATTATAAAGGATAAGTGCATGCAAAAAGTATTTTAATTTGGTTGGAAAATAAATATAATTTTTACTGATTTATAGTGGCTAATAATTTTATAATATAATAATATATCTATTCCTATAAAGTATTAAAATGCTTTTTAATTTGTACTCTAAAACTTCTTGTAAATCAAAAAGGTTACAGATATCAAAGAAAAGAGTTACAACTCTGCTCTACCATCCTTAAGCATGATATAAATAAGGTTCTATTGGATTTTGCAATCCCATTAGGGCATCTTTCGCTTCCGTCTGATGAATTAACCCGCTTCCCTTGGCTATCGCTTGGCTCGATTCGAGGGGAAGGGTTACGGATGGCTGTTGCCTTTTGCGGTTGGGTCTACGGACTACGGACAACAGACTACGGACGGTTTGTCCCCGGCTAAACTTTTGTCGACTTTGGCGCGGCTTTCCATTCTCGCGCCCCCGATGGTTGGTTCCTCACTTCACTTCCGCAGCTTTTACCTTTTTTTATTGTAGTCCTTTTTTTTTTGTGATTTCGCGGGTGCCTCTGTCTGTCCATTTTCCTCTGGCATTGCCTTTTGCTTTGTTTCGCGGCAGATTTAGTTTCGCTGGAAATGATAATTTTCACTTGAGCGAGCACGTGAAAATAAGGGAGTGGTGTGGGCGTGGCTGCTATAAATTGCCAATTAATGGACCTGGACCATCTCTGCGGCGTATTTCGTTTGCATATCGATTTCGATACAGACTAACCAAAGAAATGTCATGTGCCACGGTTCGTATACTTGATATTTGAATGCTTCTTGCGCTTTAAGCGCATTCGTTGGTCACTGTGCCGCCGCTTCCTGTTCGCTCCCTGCTACGGTGCTTTTTTGCCACCAAACCTGACACGCTTCAGTTGACCATCCGGCGCTGAATTCAAATGTAGTCGATCTAGGCCCCGCCCCGGCCACCGCCATCACCGGACAGCTTCCCTCGATTTTTTGGTCAAGCGTCGTGCTAAATTCGTTGCGGTTTTTGCGGTTTCCTTGGCCCGTTCTTGCCCAGAGTTGTTTTCGTCCCTCAAACTGCTCAAAATAAATATACACGACGAAATGGAAGCGGCCCGAATCCGGTTCATTTGCAAATTGCGATTGCAACTGCAAAAAAAAAGCAGGAATAGCGAATGAATAATTGAGCGTGTGCGGTGAATATGAATGAGTGTGCACCGGGAAAATAACCTTGCTTGTCACTAACGAAAACCATGCTGCAATGTGTCTTATAAATTATATATACTATATAGGCTTTACTAAAATGATTAAGACTAAGTTAAAGCTAAATTTTAATACTTTATCAATTCTTCAGAATATCTATTGATTCAATCTTGACAAGATTTTTAATATTATTTTAAATTTTAATATTATTTTTCCAAGTGCACGGCTTAAAATCCAAAAAAGCAATTGATTTTAGTCCTCTCGCCACAAGACATTCAATCTAGGTCCAGTTTTTAGCTTTAATTCGTGTATAAATCTTTGATTATTTATTGAATTTTCGAAAGGATTAAAGACAAACACAAATCAAATCAACTATACCAATTAATTTCTTAATCCTTCGTTTGCCGATTGCCATTTGCCGGTCTCCACTTAAACCCCTTTCCGAGCTAATCACATTTCGTTTATCGTCAGTTTTATTTTAGTTATTGCTTGTTAAACAAGCAGCGAGACAGACAGATAAATTATAGTCCATCTAGCGTGCCATCGAACTAGGCATTACGCATACGACCCGTTGGACGTCGCTGCCAATGTCGATGGCGATGCCTCCGTATCTAACGGTACATAAAACTGTCTGGGCAAAATGCTAAACAAATGGCCAACAACAAGTTGGGCAGTGCATAAACATTGGCATAATATTAGGCGACTTGCTGCTGCCGTCCAATAAATGGCAACAACAAATTATGTTTATTTATTTATTTTTAACACTGCCATCCTCTCTTCGCTGAATGATAAGCCTGGCCCGGCTTGGTCTGGCTGGCAATCGGATGATTCGGCTAATGTATACGTGCATAAATCGAATATAGTATATATTTGCCAAAGGAAAGTACAGTGCGTATAGGCTGAGCGATAGACTTACTTATTTTTTAATCTGCAAAAACGATTAATAGATCATTTTATTTTATTAAGAAATTTCTTGAAATTTTGGAACATTTCTCTTTTTCAGTTAAATAATAATAGGTTCATCTTTAATCAAACTACAATCATGTCAGGCAGCTTAACACTGAGCTTTATATCGCCGGCTATTATAAATAAAATTGCCAAATTAAAGTGCCTGAACGGTTTCAGCCTACCAAACACTCTTCGATGACTCCTTTTTCCCCAACCATTTTGCCTGCATTTCTCCATAGCTCAATTGCATTTTTGGCATTTTCGTTTATTGTGCAAATTGCATTATGAAGGCGTTCCCAGAAAGAATTTCTCCGGAGTCAATTGGGTCCGAATTTATTGAATAAATATATCCATAAAAAGAGGAAAGATGAAATACTGAAACGTTCACAGGTAAAAGCCGTTTCTGGAACTGATTTTTGAAGCAACACAATTCAATGGAAATGTGAGGAGAAAATAAATAAAATATATATCTCTGGGTGGTGTTAATATACACACATGCATAACAGCATAATTTACAAATGGTTCTCGGCTTTTTTATATACATACGTATGCACTTTGCACATTCAGAATAAGAGTGATATAAAAGAAATATATGGAATCAAAAAAATAAATATGCGAATATCTTGTGCATTTCAAAAGATGAAACCACCTACCGGAGCACAACCAATCCCGATGCTGCCATTCGCATCCCAATTGAGCCGGACTCCGTGCCCTGGCCGCAATGGAAGGCATTAAAATTAGTTTATTTGAGCCCATGGTCCGGCTGTGCCGATGGGGATTGCCCACCGATTGCTGCACTCCGTGACCTCCCACCCAGTGCCGGCATTGCTCATACGCACCATTGTCCCCTTGGCCTGTCCCTGGCGTTGCGTTTATCGCCTGCATTGTTTGCAGGCAGGCAGTCGTTGTCTGGCCATTGGTTATTTGTTTAAAGTAATTATTGCGAGAAATTTGATGTTAAGCACGGTATCTCTTAAGAGGATTGCGTATGCAAATTTCGTGCCTTTCATAATTCATAAATTAGATGAAGGCTTCAATGAACCGGTCACAAATAAGTCAAGTTACCAAAATAAATTTTACTAAAAAAATACGCCTTGATTTATGTCCAAAACTTTGTTTATTTATTTAACAAAACAATGCATCTGTCGAGAGAGAATGCGAAATGGCCAGGCATCGTCAGCAACGTCATTGTCATCATCAACATGCAATTGATTAATGGCCAAGCAAATAAATTATGTCAGTTTATTTAGCCACATTGTGTGCCGCGTGGTCAGTGGCCATTAAAAAACCAAAATCGAGAATCTATGGCCTACAAGGAACGCGCACACATTCATTTCGCCCAACTTGTCAAAACCAAAGAGCAGGAAATGTCACATATTACTATATGTTTGCTGATCAAACTATCCGACGAAATTTATTTAGCAACTGATAAGCACCAAGCAGGCACAGGGCCAAGCCCATTACACGATCGTGCAGCCGCTGCCTTGAGCAGCCATTACAGGGTATCATTCCCAGGCGAGAGGTGCACACGCAGGCCTCCACCTGCATTCCGTTCTCGTGGGTCTGCCGATAGCAACCATTACTCGCATTCACCATGGCGCACATGTATGTGATGTTCAGAACTGAAATTATTGGTTAACTTGGAGATTGTTCAATGTATTTAATACATTTACTAAAACTCACTGCCGCCTTTAAAAATGTAGGAGTACTTCACGCACGAGTGAGCGGCTGACATTTGGCACAGATACTGATCCCGATCCTCGGTGGTATTCTGCCATAAAGCCTTCACATCCGGAACGGTGTCGTTGGCTATTCGGGGGATATTATAATTAGTACAAGGTAGATAAATATAATAAATTTTAACGTATAAGGGATATCTGAATTTATCGATATATGTGATATGAAAGTCGATATATATGTACATTGAATTTTAAAGATATATATGCGATGCGATGCTCTGTTGTTTATAGAGCACCAGTATAAAAGGAGAGACAAGTAGCTTAAATAACATTTTTCCGATAATTTTCGATTACGAAAATATCAAAATTTTATGCGAAATTTAATTATGTGTGTTTGCACAATTGGTAAAGTTACTACACTACAGTAACATAAGACAATAAATCAAAATTGTTGATATTTACGGATGGCAATACAAAGAAAAATATACATTCTGTATTTACATTTAATGTGTGAAAATCGATATTTAAATCGATATTTTAATGGTGCGATAAAGTATAAAGTAAATACAATTTTTGAGATAAATTTCGATAATATCGATATTTTACCATTTCTTATAATCGAATACAAATTCAGAAAGTTTATAACTTAATCAGATTATTAATTCTGTAAATATCAATATATCAATAAGCCATATCAACATTTGACTCCTATAGAACGGGTGAATACTAAAGGAATCAGAAGTAAAAAGACTTAAATATGTATATTGTTAACTTCATTTACGTTTATCCTAGTTCCACTGAAATATAAATTCAAAAACATATAACTTTTAACTTACGTGTAACCACCAAGGGTTCCACACAGGGTATGTCATTAAAGTCGCCTACTCTGGAGTCACAGGTCTCTGTGACGATATTCGAATGATTTTCGTAGGCACCAACCCAAGTAAAGCGAAAGCACTGCGGGGCTTTTTAAGCAAGTAAAGGAATAATTATATATAAACCGAGATCATATTTCCCAATTTCAACTCACTTTCAGCCAGCAAATGGCAAGCAAACAGGAGCAAAGGCAGCCAAAATCTCAGCAACTTCAGTGGCATTGCCGATAAGATTGTATATTTCGGGGAATATTCTATTTCCCTTTTTTTAAAGTAATTTTTTATAGGGGAAGGTCTGACGTTGCCACCGCGAATGACAAACTGATAATGCGACGATGGCAATTGAAACGATAGAGCGATGGGTTGATTGCGACTTATCAGTTAGTTTACATTCATTTACTTTGAAGAGGTAAGCTAAAGGCTTGAAAATACCTATACTCAGTTTAAATGTTTTAAAAACTTATTAAAATATATATATATATTATGTTTCTTTTAAAATCATTTAAAATGTTTGATAAAAATAGAAGGGTATTACTTTGTATAGTCCCTCTTAAAGCTTGTTTATTTTACAGAAATAAATCATTTTTTCACATCTTTTTCTAGCCTTTGGTGTAAATGATAACTATTTGAAGTCCACCTCATTCTTTCGCCTCTTTTCTTTGCTTTTACATTATCAATTTCAAGCATTTCCGAGTGCGCTTCGATTGCAATCAAAAATCGATAAGCGTTGTTATCTCCCACCTTTTTGCCTCTTCTGCTCCCCTTTCTTTTGCCTCTTCGATAAACAAAGAAAGTGTCATAAATTGTAAATAATTTTTGGGATTTCAATACCAAAGACAGACTCCTTTGACGGAAAAAACCCAGAGAGATGAAAAATGTATGCAAATGGCATTTAATTAAATTCACACAATCGAGGCGGAGGGAAAAGCGGGAACAATTAAACAGGAGGAGTTGGTAAAATTTTTTAACTAAACTCGGCAAATTGTATTTGTTGTTAATTGTTCGACTGTCCTCCTCTGGTCCATCGTGCAGAGTCCGAGCCACAGCCTTTGCTCTCGCAAAATGAGTTTGAAAACAAATAAAAATGTCAAACGAATGAATAAAAGTTGTCTAATTTAATTTGTTTAGCAGCAGCAAAGGCAGGAGTAGGAGCAGGAGCAGTAGCAGCTGGAGCAGGAGCAGCAGCATTTCAACACTGACTCACACAAGTACTCATACTCACGTAGTTGCAAAACATTTTCGCAAATTGAATAAGCACGAAAATTTGTGTGCGCCTTTGCCCCATTCCTAGCCCAGTATTCGAGTATTTTTTAAATTTAATTTTTAATTGCTCAAAACAATTAAAATTTATTTGCAATTTTGTTTTTTCCTCCGCATGGGTTTGTGTGTGTTTGGCTAACTTTTCCAGCTAAGCAAAGGCAGCTGCCATCGAAATACGTGCCGAGTAAACTTTGACCGACTGTGTGCATGGCAAAGGGATATTCCTTCTATATGTTTTGTCAGAGAAAATATAGCTATTTACACGTCTTTCGTCTGCCAGGAGTCCATCCATCAAATCAAAGGCAAAGCCGAAACCTTTGAACTTTTCCAGTCAATTCACTGTTAACCGTTACATGATAAGCGCATTTCCCAGCGCGTTTCCCTTCACCTCTTTCCCCTGGCTGCGCAAAGTGTGCCATTGTCTTCCCCAAGATGGATCACATGTGTCATTGGCCCGGGGGCCAGTATCAATCACACGGCGGAAATTAGCGTTAGTCATACATTTTCCAGGAAAAACTTTCCGGAAATGCGGAAAAAATGTCACGTCAGATTTTGAAACTGCTTAACGGTGAAAGACTTTGGGTTCAATCATATAAAGGATATTTGAAAGCATTTGTGGGGACAAATATATAATACAGAGTAGAGGATCAAATCTGAATAGTAAAAAAATTGTATATATAGGTCCTTATGATTTGTATACCCTTGCAGGGTATTACAATTTCAGTCAGAAGTTTGCAACGCAGTGAAGGAGACCTTTCCGACCCTAAAAAATATATATATTCGATCTAGCCATGTCCGTCTGTCCGTTTCTACGCAAACTAGTCCCTCAGTTTTAAAGCTATCTGAATGAAACTTTGCAGATAGTCTTCTATATACTCTCACTGCTATATATGTCGAAACGGGCCGGATCGGTTGACCATATCATATAGCTCCCATACAAATGATCGATAATTTTTTAGAAAAAAATTATAACTTTGCTGTTTTTCAACATTTTTGCACAATTGTATATGGCCATTTTATAATATTTCAGAATTTTGGTAGAAATTTTATGAAAATCGGACGACTATATCTTATAGCTCCCATAGGAACGATCGGAAAATGAATAGGAAAAAAATTATAACTTCGTTGTTTTTCAACATATTCTTATCTACTTTTGTATTATTTCAGAATTTTGGTAAAAATTTTATGAAAATCGGACAACTATATCATACAGCTGCCATATAAACGATCGGTGAATGTAGAGAAAATGTAACCAATCTGCAAGGGTATACAAACTGCGGCGTGCCGAAGTTAGCTTCCTTTCTTGTTAAATATTGTATAAAAATAAAAAAATAATTCACAAAACTTCAAACCGCTTAAAAAGTTAACACGAAAGGAAGGTAACCTTGGCACAACGTGCAGTTTGCAGTTGGATCATTAAGAATTGATTTAAAACTAAAATCAGATCAATAAAGAATGTATATTAAACAAGAAAGGAAGCTAACTTCGGCACGCCGAAGTTTGTATACCCTTGCAGATTGGTTTTGATGTTTATATTATAGATATAAATGTTGAAAACACTCACAAAACAGAGTTTCATTACAGTTTACCTATACTTATTATGTTTACAGTTTGACAGTTACAGTTTTACATTCCCAGCTTTACATATTTTATACAATTACCGATCGCTTCTATGGCAGCTATATGATATATTTGTCCGATTTTTATGAAATTTATACCAAAATTCTAGAACAATAAAAAAAGCCTATATCTCAGAGTAGATAAAAATACGTTGAAAAACAACGAAGCAATAATTTTTTTCCTATTAATTTCCCGATCGTTCCTATGGCAGCTATATCATATAGTCGTCCGATTTTCATAAAATTTTTACAAAAATTCTAAAATAATATAAAATGGCCATATCTAAAAAATGATGGAAAAATATTGAAAAACAGCAAAGTTATAATTTTTTTCCTAAAAATTTATCGAACATTTGTATGGCAGCTATATGATATAGTCGTCCGATCCGGCCCGTTCCGACATATATAGCAGTGAGAGCATATAGAAGACTATATGCAAAGTTTCATTCAGATAGCTTTAAAACTGAGGGACTAGTTTGCGTAGAAACGGACAGGTGGACAGACGGACAGACGGACAGACGGACAGACGGACATGGCTAGATCGACTCGGCTGTTGATGCTGATCAAGAATATATATACTTTATAGGGTCGGAAACGTCTCCTTCACTGCGTTGCAAACTTCTGACTGAAATTATAATACCCTGCAAGGGTATAAAAATTTCATATATTTATTTAGTTTTTATAAAAATTCAGAAACATTATTTTAAAGTATTTAATATAATATAATTTGTAATGATTACTTTCATTAACTAACCTATTACATATTGAAGATACAGTTTTACAGTTACAGTTTTACAGCTATAGTTTCACAGTTACAGTTTTACAATTACAGTTTTACAATTACAGTTTTACAATTACAGTTTTACAGTTACAGTTTTACATCCACAGCTTTGGATTTTTCTCTACAAGTACCGATCGTTCCTATGGCAGCAATCTAATATATTCGTCCGATTTAAAAAAAATTGTTAATTGAAATTTTAAAATAATACAGAATGGCCATAACTCAGAGTAGATAAAAATATATTGAGAAACAAGTTATAATTTTGTTCGAAAATTGTTTACTGAAAACTGCGAGCCAGGGGAAAGTTTATTTCCTTTTTAAGAATAAATAGATAAATACATTTTCCTAAAGATTTTTCCCATCTTTATGAAAACTATAAAAATTCCTGCCAGTTCCCTTACTCTAGATCTTTGACAATTAAGCTGACCCCATAATGTTAACAATCTCAATTTGTGGTTTCACTTAAAGCGGTCGTAAAATTGCCATATTTATAAGTACAGCTAATAGTATTTTTTGTACTAGCTTAGATAGAAGGCAATAACATTTCGCCACTTCCCCTGGACTCGCCGCACTCATTAATTATGCAAATGTTTTGATTTGTTCCATGTTACTGGCTTTGGGCACCACCGAGCGAACGAAGAGCAAAAATTATGTTGCCAAAATGCAAATGTTTGTCAAGATGGTTGAGTTAGTGGGCGGCGGAGGTCGCAATCATAAAGAGTGCCATGTGATTAGTAGAAGCCGTTACAGCAGCAGCAGCAGCAGCAGCAGAAGCCCTTGGAAAGGCCGAAAGTTGTTAGCAAAACTGAATAGCCAAACATACACACACAGTTTGTCCCGTCCGGGATATTGGGAACCCGGCTTTAACGAAAGCAAATGTCACTTGGGTCTTATGGCGGGCCTGCATAAAATTTGCATGCGATTAAAATTGATAAATTGCCAAAGAGGATGTGTAAATGCGAATGGTTTTCCTGCCAGAATGTCCCACGCACTCACTCCAATACAATCCGTGGGTTTCAATTATAAGGAAGCACTTGGAGAAAAAGAGGAATTTAATATGTATAATATTGTTTATAAATATGAAAATATGTTTCAAAATAATAAAAAGATATTCTGGTGGGTTAATTTACCATTACCTTAGAGATATTGTTAGGTGAAAGACTACAAGGTATACCTCACATCTCATACTGACCGTTAAGCTCTCCCTTATGACAAAACCCCTTTATACCTCGTCGGTTTCGGTTTATTATCTGGAATTGCACATCTTACACCTGACACCTGGACACCTGCAACACCTGCGACAACTAATGAGCAGCGCCTAAAAGTGTAAGTAAAGAGGCTAATGTCTGTAAATTTAATAGGGCGTGCTGTTTTTGTGAGAGGTCCTTTTCCGGCTCGGTCCTATTCCCGATGACTCCTCGCTAAACCGATTTGCTAAATTACAAAGTCTCCCTGTTGGCACACAGCATCACAGGATCTTTTGTCCCGCGCAACACAGCACCTAAGTCGGCGTCCTTGCCACCTCCCTCCCTCTAATTACGCCTGCGAGGCGCTGGCGAGTCCGGATCATTATGTCACCTGTACGAAAAATGCCGCACGTAATCCGGAAACGAGGCGAGCTCAGTGACGGGCACGAAGTGGGGCTCATTGTACGGAAATCGCATTTGGGGCAGATAGCACCGCCTAACTAACGACCAGTCAACTAATACGATTAGTGTCATAATGCGGAGTGTCACCCCAGTGAAGCAGCTGATGTACGGAGAGAAAATTTATCGAATAAAAAACTATAGTATAAACAATGAAATAATAAGAAAAATCAAAATAATTATATGCTGTTCATGAATGGCAGAAAAAAACCATAGATTGATCGATATCTAATTAATCGATATTTTAAAGTTGGATACAGGTGGCGTAAAGCAATATTTTGTTGTTTCAGTTTAAAACATTTCATTTAATAAATATATTACCATTATATATTAATTATTAATTTAAATAAAAAAGACATATATAATACATAACAGGGTTCCGATATTTCGATCATTCCGATACTTTAATAGCTTTTAATTTTAAAAATTTTAATACATTTTTGAGATGTATTTAGCGCTATATTTCTGCAGATATTATTTGTAATAATCAAGAATAAAATAAAAGAATGATTTAATTTTTTCGATATTTTCCTATTTATTTTACATCGATATTATAAAATTATATGAAATATATATTTTTTATTTTTATATATTTGTATAATAGTAATTCAAAAATTAATATTCCCAATCAGTTTTAGTTACATACAAATTTATAAAATGCTTTTTAGAAAAAATAAACCATAGTTTTTAATTTTTATTTTAGTATAAATGTGAATTACAAATTTTAAAAATATTCATTTAGCATTAGGACAGATTTTTTTTCACAGTGCAGAAACACACAAATGTCCACAGCACCTGCTATTTCCAATTTCTTACTACTTAATTTGACTGCTTGGCTGATTGCTTTTTCTCAATTGTTCCAAAAATAGTTGCGAGGCTATAGCAATACTCCTCCGGATTCTTATAAGTCGCACACTTCCCGGCATTGGATCCCAGGGTCTCCACAGACTGCAATCTTCGGCTGTGGCGGGCTGCATGAAGTTGGGTGTGGTGAAGCTTGTAAGGGAAAAGATTAGGTTTCTGGGTGTTAATCCCTCGAGAAGATCGCGGCAGGTCCGGGGGCTGCTTTTCAACCTCTTGAAAGCGCTGCGTGCTATGCAATGTGGACACCCACAGTCGGGGGGTCTGCAGGTGCACACCTGTCCATCCTCTTCGCCATCTCTGACCTCCTTGGGGTAGCTTTGGTCCGCCCTTAATTAAAATTAACAGGAGATTTATGATTTTAAAATTTTGATAGTATTGTATTGCCTGACAGGTAATTTAGTTTCTAAGAGCTCTAGATTGGTTGAAACATTGGTTACATAATAATAGCTGCAATTTCAGCATTGATATATGTATAGGCTATTTCCTTGGAAAACACCAAATCGTTATCCCATTTAAATATTTGGGTTAGGCCTCAAGACAAACTTAAACCATACCTAAGAGTAGTAAGCCAAACAGACAGGCTAAGTGCCAAGTATGTTTATTTTCCCACGATCCCGCACCAGAAACTTTGGCATGTCATAAACATGAGACTGGGCCGAGTTTAAGCCAGGTCATAAACCAGGCACAAAAGCCAAATCTCAAAACACACGTTGAATAATTTCGATCATTAAACTTATTCCACTTGAAATCCATTCAGGATTTGCGGGGACACAACTTTAAGGGCGACGGCAGCGGCAGTGGAGATAAATGCCCCAACAACCCGAACGTTAACCCTCGACAATCAGCCAGGCGAGCCACCATAGTAGACCCCCGGGCGGCGGTAAAGTTGGCAAAACTAACGTTGAGCAACAGCAACAACGATGGCAATAAAAATCAGCAACAACCAGAGCCGGTGAAATAAACGCTCAAGTGCTGAAAATTGTCAGCTCTCTGGCCGAGGACAGGTAACACGGCAGCGAGCTGGCTTTCTCCTGAACGCTTTTTAATACACTCTAGAAGGACGCACGAAAGCTGTTCATTTGTCCTTTTTCTAGACAATGGTGGGTAAAAACTATAGCTATTAGTTTTTAGTTATTATCCTTTTTTTTCAGTAATTGTTAAAATTCCCAAGTACGAATTAAGCAACGTACTGCTAAAAAACTAAAGAAAGTGTTATGGTTAAATCTGACAGCAAAATGAGTGACCGACTGGGAGATACCCAGTGCCCAAATAATTGTACGTGAAATAAAAATAATTATCCCGGAATGAATGATGAAATTTAGGAAAATGTTGCAGAAGCTTAACATTCTTAACTATACTATACTATACTCCCATGTGTAGGAACATAGTAGGAACACGATGTAAAATAAGTGTAAGCAATGTATTATATCAATTGTAAGTAATGTATGTATATCGATAATAGGTAATGATGTATATCGAGGGTCTGCGATCACTACTTTTTTGTCGGCGTTTTTGGCAAGGGAAGTTCGCAAAGTGTAACAAAATAAAGAAAAGATTCAAATATCAAAAGGCCTATACATGTTTATTCTCCGATTTTGATATCTAAATTTCCTTAATCACTTTCCTTTTATCTCGAAAATGTCTAAATTTTTGCCATCACTGTTACCATTGCCCAGAGAAAAGATGGCGCACATAACAGTGGCGTCCCTGATTGTGGCTTGTAAATTTATAGTTTCACCAAGAAAATCGCGCTGGCAAACTTTTTACTTTTACTAGGTCTCCCAGTACCCACACGCACATCAAACCACCCACCCACCCACACACACACACACACACTTGCAATTACATTTATCCCACACTTAACCCACTCGCAGCAACTTGGTCCTGAGCGAGCAACATCCACCTCCAGAATCCAGCATCCAGAATCCACAATCCCAGTCAGCCAGTTGGCGACATCTAATTGCTTTTGTTTTCGGGCCAGACTGGCAACGCCACTACAAGTGGCTTACAAGCGGGTACAGTTGTGTCGGAAGGGACACACTCATCCTCGTGCTCATCCTAGTCCTTTTCCTCGCGGAAGCCCTTTCGTTAAGGTAATTTTCCGCTATAATTTCTATGACTCTGTGCGTGTGTGTGTGTCTGTGAGTGTATGTTTCAGGGTGTGCGAAAGAAATCGTAGAAAGTTTTTTTTCGTGCTTGGAGGTTTTGGAATTAAAAGAGCTGTTAAAGTTGATTGTTAGTGGGGGGTTAAGCTATGATTATTGTTCTGTTCTACAGGAATGTAAAAAGTCTTATTCTTTTAGGCAAATAAGAGGCTAAAAGTATTGTATTTATAGAAAGCGTAAGATAATTATAATCTGTATAATTAGCTATTATCTAAGGAAATAAAATCTCCAGTACCACCTTTATTTTCTCATATTTCCACAGTCGCAATTAGTTAGCCCGCATACTTTCCTTTTTGGAATAAAGTTTCAACACACACCCATCTTCTGGGAAACTTCAACGCACAAGACGAACATTTATTTAAAGCCTTATAATTTGGCCTGACACCTCGAATTCTGATAACTTCTCAAGACATTCGTTGACTTTTGTGGCTGGAATCAAAAACCCGGCGAAACAAAGCTGCAGCTGCAGCAAAACTTTATGCAAATGCTACGGGAATTTCGCGTACCGAAAATGTTGATGAGTGAGGAGCGGAGGCGAAATTCGGTTGGGTACTACTGCCAACCCACAACAGGAGAAAGGAGCCAAAATACAAGGGGCTACCACTACGGTTCGCATTCGGCTTGCTCGCTTAATTAAAATGCGCAGGCAGTGCGAGCGCTTCATTTGGCGCGCTTAATCGCCTGCCGCAGGATTCGCATCGGCTTGGAGGAGGCCAGTGGTTCCGGGAAATCTTTCCGAGTCTCGTTCTTGTTGCTTTGCATGTAAAGTGTCAAGTTTTTCATTATAATTTGCATATTTTTCGCCAACTTTTCGCCGCCCCACGCCCGAGCAAATGACAACAATAAGCATTATGGCATGAGCCCTCTGAAAATCCAGCTCGGCCAGGACCTAGGCAACATGCTAGCTAGATACACACAGCGTGTATCTCTTAAGCTATTTTCAAGTTTAATTCCTTGACTCCCTCCGTACCCCCTCCGCGTCCGTATACCCTCCGTGTTTGCCCAAAAACTCCGAAGATGTTGCCGAGCCGCGGCGCATAATCACGCAAAATCTGAAAACGTGTCTGGTATAATAATGAGCACTGATTATAACTTGAAATTGTGTGTGAAAGTACAGTTGTGTGCGCAAGTTATGCTACGTGGTGTTTCCTGTGCAACAAAAAAAAAAAGTGTAAAAAGAAAACAGTCAGTAACTTTGTACAACTTTCAGGAGCTTCAAGGTATTCAGGGAGAAACAATGGAGGGAAATAATAGCTTCTTCCTGAGTTTAAGCTAAAAATGAGTAAAATTAAATATATTTTATAGGAAGTAACAATTTGTTGAAATAAATATTTAAAACGATTAATTTAATTAACAAAATTCTGAATAAATATAAGTACATAAAGACTATACATTTTTTCTGCGTGTATAAATCAAAGATAACGCATAAAGTCAAACTTTTTGATTGTTTCAAGAGGTTTTAAAGTATAGATTTCATTACAAAATATAGTAAGAAGATTCCTTTAATTAATTTTTTTTGAGTTTACCGGCAAGGACAAGTAATTTTCACACGCACTGTATGGCTACCACCTATCCCACCTGCAGTTTGATGTGTATTTAAACTTAAATGATGTCTTCTTAATCAACTGCCGAGCTAGGAAGTTGGGGAGCTGTGTGGGCGGATGTATTAAGCGATAGGGAAAGAGAAAGCTAGAAGAAAGTACCTTGCAACTCGTCCTTCTGGCCACTCATACACACTCACTCCTCTTATATTTTTTTCCTTGTTGCTTGCCCCAAGGCAGCGCTGTTATGTCGTATTGTGCCAACATGTCCTGCCAGCTCCACGAGTACGTGTCGGGGCGGTGAGAGCCTGCAGGATATTATATAATGTGTAGTAATTTGAATTTCAAGTGTGTGGCATCGAACGGAGCTTATAAGCCGCAGACACTAGACAAAAGGGCGATATTTCCTGTTCTCCTTTCATCCCAAAACATCAAAAATGTCTCGGGGGGGGGGTTGGCCGGATTAGTACGATTTTCTTTTATGGATTTATGATGATTATGCTGCTGTTATTAGTTTGGACGCGTGACAGTTTGCTCGTCGCTTTGCCATTTTAAAGTAATCCATTGATATACGAGGGTCCTGGCCCTGTTCAAACCCAAAAGCTCCTACTAAATCACAAAAATTGCATGAAACGCGCCCCATTAGCCCGACTTATTTATGGCGACGCGGCTTTCAATGACAATTCAATATATTTTCGATCCTGCAGTTCCCCCCTAAAAAAAGAAAGACAATTGAGAAAAAACGAAATCAAACAAAATTTTTGTATCTGGTCGTCGGTCATTTTTGGTTGGCTGACTCCTCCTCGGCCGGGTTGGGGCCATTTTTTGGCCCGGCCAGAACCAGAAACAAACCCCGCAATCGCCGCCGCGCACAATAAACCATTACAGGCGATTAATTTCATTATCCGCGGCGAGTGAAATCAAAAACAGCAACAGATTTATGCGTGCGACCGCAGAATCTCCATCGAAAGCGAATGCAATTGTCCAGTCTTTCGTTTTTTTATAGCATAGGGGAGGCTTTTTTTACTCGTTATCCGCTTGAGGTTATGAAATGGCATTTTAGGCGGAAATAAATGGATTGCTTGATAAAACTTATGATGATTTGGTTTTGCGGTTTCGCAGATCCTTTGTGTTTCGAAAGCGTTAATGTTCTCAAAGGGAAAAACAGAATAAAAGTTTTGAAAAGGTAAACAAATTGGTCTAAGACAGGTCATTTTATGCTGTTCCCAAAACCATAAAAAACAATATTTCCATTTTTGATAGGTATATATTTATGACAAAGAAATTATGATAAAGTTTGTCTGCTTTGTTGAATAATAATCAATACTTTAGATACATAGTAGGAACACTACATTGTAAAATGTAATGTAGCATAAGTGTAAGCAATCAATTACGAATACGTAGACACATATATAGATAGTAAGCGAGGGAGATCGATAGAAGGATATCGGGGATCTGCGATCTCTACTTGTTGTCGGCGTTGGTGTGCAGAAATTTCAGGTATGTGAAAATAAAATAAAGAACTAAAATATAAAATACCTATAATACTAAGAATTATGCTTTTAACAGAAAAAATAAGTATAACTTTCTGAGTAAGTATTTAATATCTTTAAATTCCCTAATAAGACAGCTCAAAATAAAACACAAAAACACAAACAAAAAATCAACCTAATTCTTATATATTCTAAACATTCATCAATCCCTAAATACCCTTCACAGAGCATTCAAAAGTTCCAAAAGCTACTGTAAACTTTCCCCCCTTGATTTCGCTTTTTTTCCCCCCATTCACTCCCAAGGGTGCATTTAATTCTAATTGTTTCATTTGTTTGTTTTTTTCTCTTCGCGTCTGGGCTGTTACTTCCTTTTGTGGTAAAAAATAATAATGTTGAAATAAAAATGAAGTATATAAATAGAAGATTCAATTCATTAAGCAAACATCAGCAGATGGAACACACACTCGCTCGCCTCCTAACAAACATAGCGAACTCCCTCCCCACTTGTCCGCCTTTGCTTCCATTTCCGTTTCCGCTGCGAGTATACTGCTTCCCTTTGGATACATTTTGACTTATTTCTATTTGTATTTGCCACGCTTTATTTTCGTGGTCGATGGCCGCCACAGGAGACATGAAAGGAGATTCCCTCGCGCGCAGCTCCTTCGCTCCTGCATCTATCCGTAGCTGTGACTGTAGAATGTATCTGTATCTGTTTGTGTGCGGATCGCTGGGGGTCATGTTTAGCTTTTTCACCCCTTTTGAATTGCTTGGCTCTGGCAGCCGACCCTTGAGGGGTTTTCGGGGTTGGGATTGGGGCCCAGGGTGAGGGCCAGGGCGGGAGTTGGTCTCTATGGTCTATATGGCGTTGCTGCTGATGCTGTTGCCGCCTGTTTGTTTGTGTCTCATTGAGCGTAGATGCGAAAAAAACTCACGGAAATAAATTTTAAAATTTGTGTTATTAAACTATGTCATGGATTTTTTATTTTTAAAACTATTTTAAATCTTTTCAGTTTTTATTTAGTATAAATAATAAATTTTTATATAGTAAAACTAGATGAAATAAATAATTACTGCTTAAGCTTTCGGAATATTGATAAGAAATCTTATGGGAAATACATTTTTAATGAATTCAACATGAAAATTGTTATTTTTATATACCTTTAAGCCCAAGTATTTGCTATATATTTTCTTCAGTGTGCAGAGAGTCTTACAAATACGGAGAAATAAAGAGATATAGTGAAAGAGAGCGTGGGAGGAATGGAAAACGTTTTCGGACGGATTTATTTGCTTAAACCCAGAGTAAAAAGCTCGCTTTGGCTGCGTGGCACGCGGTAACTGTAATTGTCATTATGCCCCCGGGCAGTCAGCCCAGTTACTTACTAACCCCTCCACCCACTACCCCTTTCTCTATATTTTTTGATTCCCTTTCCCCCCACTCCCTCTGGCCGTCTCGGCTGCCTTTGGAATATTTGCCTTTGGCTTGGCAGCAAAGTGAAGGCGACTTGAATCATTTTTACCTCCCCCTTGGAACCCGGAACCGCCGCCGCCGCCAAGCGCCTTTCATATTTAGACGTGCTACTTATTTCCCCACACCCCTCACACACTCTCCCTCCGTGCGGCATCATCGTCTTGGCCATAATAATCATTTAGAGGAAGTTCGCCTGAGTTACTTGGCACACTCAACAAAGTATCTATCAATATTTGCATTTAGAAGTTCTTTGCCTTCTGGCGTATTTGTTGAGTTATTAACTGGAATTAGGGAAATTGAAATGCGTTTTCCGCATAAGAGCGTGAAATTAAGGTTTTCCGCCCGCACGCAAAACTGACTCACTCGAATGGCCAACTTGGGTACTGTTTTTGGCCTTAACTTTTCTAATTATGCGACACGATAATTAACTTAATTCAGGCGAGGACAACAATACAGGAACAAGTGGAAGACAGAGAGTAAGAGTATCTTCCCTCAACGCAATGTGCAATGGCCATGGCCCAAAAGCCAGTTGGCAGGCCGCCGAAAAGGCCAAAAGAGGGGGCCGCAAAATGCCATAAAAACCGCCGTCGGACTGATGCTGAAGTTTCCAAATTGCTGCTCAATGGTGGTGATGATGGTCGGTGGGTGAGGGCGATGGCATTTTTTGCCGAACATAGCCAAGGAAATTCAATGCCGAAATGGTCCAATATCGTGGCCAATGTCAATTTGCTTTTTGTTTTATTTCATTAGGTGGAAATGGAGTGCATACTCTTACTTGCCCGAAGGGAGTATATCCTTGTTTAAATGCTAAACTGCTTATAAATCAAGTGTATGAATCTTCTTGTTTCACTCAAGCACTTAAAGATCTAACTTAACCTTGCTATAAGCCATATAGCTCATTAGCAATAACAACAAGACCCAAACGGAATGACACTCTCTGGGGTTAACCTCAAGTGCCTTGGAAGGACTCCCAAATGTGTGATTGTCTTGGGGGTCGCCGAACCCAGGACTTCCAAATCTTAAATTAGCCAAGTCACGGCGCCAGCTGAAGCTATTAAAAATTGTGAAATAATTTCCAAGCACGCTCCAATGGAGCAACTGGGATTGTCGCGGAGTGTGGCTGCAATTACTTTGATGGCGACTGTGACACTGATGATTATGATGATGACGCGCACGACTCGCGCGGCATGCAAATACGCAGGGCTCTGGAATCCCGAGTCCTGAATTCTGAATCCTGAATCCCCGACTGGCACAATGGGAAGCGAAAGTCAGCAGATCAGAATCAACCCTCCGAAGGTTGGTCTGCGGGGGGCAGACGCCGCCCATGTATAGCCTTTAATCAGGGCGCATTATCAGCGTGGCTACGATATATAGCTATTTGTTTGATGACTCTGGGTGTGTTTGAGCACATCTGGCGCGATACCAGGTGGATGGGAACTCCGCCCAGGTCCTGATGAACTGGGCGAGTGCTCGATGACAGACTTGAGAAGAGCTCTCGGTGGTGCTAAATGGTTGGGGCAATGTCTTGCTGGCAATTATCATTAAAGATTTTTGGAGTTATTTCAGACACTTGATACTTTCGGTAAATAATAAAGCCAAAGCCTTTCTGAGGGAATGATATTAGAAAAGGGAAGACATTTTTCTAAACCTAAAGAGATTCTTGTGACAGCGAGAGTTGATTTATGACTTAAAGGGTTTTTTGGGATATAATTAAATTACCCAGAGTAATTATTGTGTAGTCACTCTGAAAAGAAACAGAAAATTAATATACAAAATATTACATCGAAAAATATGTAGAATTGTCTGAATTCTGAACTTTAAAAATTGCATTGCATTATTTAGACTCCTTTTCAGGGGTTTTTAAAACTGACAGTTTAGCATTTTCTTTTGTGAATTAAAAATGTCTCAAAAATCAGTGGTAGTTCCAAATATAAAATTTAATATGAAGAAATAGCAACTGAACAAGAAGAATGAAGGTAAGTCTTGGTAGAAGCAAGGATATTCTGTGAAAACTGCTCATGGAAACGCCTGTTGGTGTATTTCCCCCACATCATAACGCTATCGAATATTCACCGAACTGTGTGAAATTTTGGCTGGGTTGGCCCGGCATTTTCCTCGATAATTATTCGCGCCAGAATTTAAGACACTTTAAGGCGCGCGCTGGCAAAGCCTCAAAAGTATCGGATCACAAAGGAAAATCTTCTCTTCTCACACCGGGTGACAGGGAAACCCCCGAAGAAGCTGTCAGGCGTTGAATGTAAATGCCAGGCAGCCAGGAGATAAGCCGACGCCAAGCCAAGGAAAGCCAAGCCAGGGGCCGGAGCCAAAGGCCCGACAAACAAGCCGGAGATGTGTCGTTCTCATCGCTCGCTCATTGTCCTTGCGCGCGACTAAAATTAAAAAGAAGGAAGAAAAAGTGATAAGGAATCGGCGCTGGCAACTTGACACAATGAACTTAATATTAATATGAAGTAAATAAAGGCAACGCCGCCAAGTGTTGAAGTAGGAGTCGGTCGCTCTGAAGTGCGGTGGTGAAGTGAACTCGCAGGAGTCGAGTGTATTATGGAGTGCCTGTGCGGTGCGGCTTGTATGTGTTGAAAAGATTTACGAGCCCGAAATTCGAACAAAACTTTAAGAGAGTGAGCCATAAATTAGCCGGAGGGGCGAAAATACCGAGCCCGGAATAATACAAAACCCCGGCGAGCACCGGAAGCCCCGACCTCGGAGTCTAGTATTTTGACAGGGCCCAGCCACGCCCTCTCCATCCTCCAGAGCAGTCTCAACCCCTTTCAACGTTATCCCCTTATCCTTTATGGTTATTGTGTGCAATTCGTGGTGGCTTCACCTTTTTATTTTTTCTGACTGGCCCTGGGTAGCAGCGTCGCTTATTGTTATTGATGTTGTTATCAGTCGCAATTATTTTTTTGATTTACACAATTCGACGTAGACCGCTTTTTGCTTTTCGGTGACAATTTTCTCGCCTCGTTTTGCGGTTGGTAAAAGGGCATCGTTCCCAGAAAAGGAGGCTGGGAAAATCGCTGGTCGCCGCCGAGCTCATTTGGGCCCGGCTTAGCGTGGGTGCGGAGAAGAGGTCCTGGCTCGTGGTCCCTTTTCCCCTGAGGTTTTTCGCCTCACTCTCTGCATTATTGACAGTTGTTGTGGAATAATCAGATTTAAAACGTTAAATGTCGTCGCTACTTGGGCGGTTTCCCAGTTTTTCTCCAGTTTCCCTTACTCCAACTACCAATTCCATTCTCTGTGGCCCTGCCATATTTTGCCCGCCATTGTCTTCGGCTTTTATCTTTTATTTTCTGTTTGGCTTATTTTTGGAACATTTGCCAGCACCGAGATTGGCTTTGAATTTAAGTAGCAATTTCCTGTTTTGTTTCTGTCCCCGTTGTTCATGTCATGTAATGAATGTGGAAATATGTTGGGAGTTGTGGTCCTGGCACTGGGACTTCGTTGAAGGTGCTCGGATGTAATGTTTTTTGAAAGGATATTACCCAGCACAGGTCCACCAGCGATAATTTGGGATTATGTATATGCAGGCGACGAAGTAATAAAAATTTGCCACGCCATTTTATTGCGTACAAATGGGAGAATGAGTGTGTTTTATAATATAACAAGAGGTGTATAAGTACCAAGCTTGATGGATTATCTACCAGATACATTTTAAAATTATAAGCCATATACATTTAAGGATGTAAACCGTATTTAACCGTTTCAAAATTTATCCCTTTATCATTTGAAGATCCCTTATCCAATTTGTATCGATGATATCTGAATTGTAATGTAAACTGCGGATTTCTTTTAGGGTTTACTTAAGTTCTAAGAGATCAATGAGATATATAATGTTAATATATCCAAATTGGAAGTATGCATTAAGGTTTTTCAGTAGAGTTTGTAATAATAAACTCCCCTTAGAGTGTATAGAATCTCCCAAAATGATTATTAAATATTTATGCATATCCTTATCGCAGGCATTTTGGCGCTAATGAACCGGTGTAATATGGCCAAAACTGACTTGAGCTAGATAATGAAGCGTACGGAATGTAATCCCCGGCAGTAACATACTTGAACCTAATTACACTACCAGGACCTACTAGTCAAATTTCGGGCACTACCAGCCGGAAGGCAGCATAAGCCAACGTAAGGTGTTGTCTTATTTCACGTAAGCCGCTTAACGTTTCTCATCTATGTATATGGTCGGATGTCTAGACCCCCATTTTCCCCACCCGTTAAGACCCCATTACGTAATGCATTCGAAGATATTTGCCGATGGGCGCTGGCTGGGGGAGGTCTTCACTTTCGTGGGGAATCCGAGACAGTCTCCTTCCCCTGTGCCCCCTGCATAATCAAATTCAATTGCTCATTCAAAACATTAAACTGTTTATTTTTGGATGGAGGCCAGGGAGGCGCAAGGATGTAAGGAGGCGGAGGCGGCTCAAGTGGCAAGGCACTTCATCATGCCGCCTAATCATTTGACCCACTTGAGAGTTGTGCAAATACTTTTTACGTTGGCGCAAACGTCCTATCCTAGCCTGCTCTCCCACTCGCACACACGACGACACACAGGACACATGAGCTGGTCTAATCCTTTCAAATGTCGGAGTCGCAGTTGGAGACACAGAGAGCCAGAGCGAGATGGGGCAAAGGGCAATGAAAGGGATGGAGGCAAGACCGGAGACGGCGACGGAGTCTCTGGCAGTTTTGCATGCATGCAGCAATCATTTCGTCACACTAAAAGAAATTCCCTCGATAGGCAATAACCGATAACATACGATATATTGATAACTTTTCGGGAATGGAATAATCTTACAGATATGGCTGTGCCATAAATATAAATTAGAGTTAGTCTTTTATAATGTTCTATATATTTATCAGTTTTGCAGATATTACAAAATCGATAAAAACCGATATATTGTTTATTAATAATTAAATAATTTACAAATATAATAGACTTTTGAAAATTCATTCTATTCTATCGAGAACCTCTCTATTAAGAAAATAATATTAAAAAGTTTAAATTAATTTCAAAATCATATGTGCAAAGAATTTAACGTAAAAATAGTTTATGATTTTAAGGTACAAATTGGGTCGCCGCAAGATTTTCCCCCAGTGCAGAGGGAAACCTGGGAAAGGGTGCTGCACAAGTGAAGACAAGGAATTTGGAAAATCTCAGCTCAGTGTCAGGTTGCACGTTGAAAATTTGTCGTCATCGTGTCTCGCACACAAAAATGGCGTTAAGCATAGAATTTTACTAGGACAAGGTGAAGGGAATAAGGTGGGGCACCTGGAATGGCAATGAATGGTTCGGGGGGAGGACTACTCGTACTACTTCTACTTCTACGGACTACGGACTTCGGTCTACGGACTACGGACCCGGGCCAAAGACAAACACATCACTGAAAAGAGAGGAGTTGAGGAAAGGCGAAGGAAAGAGAGGAAGATACTTGGCTGCGGCTCAAGGATAAGGCAAGATATAATAAATTATATTTTCCGTGATTTGTGTTCGCTGCCTTGAAGCATTCTCTTTCTCCATCTCATCTCTCGCTCTCTCTCTCTCTCTGCTTTTCTTCTCTGTGAAATTATTTTGCAAAATTTACTTTTGCCCTGAAAAACCGAAAAACAACAATCGAAATTATTCAACTACAAGTACTTTGAGGTTGAACCCGCCTTGAGTTTTGGTTTCTGAATGAAATGCCTTTCAAGTCGGCGGGAAAACTGAAAGAGAATCGTTCGCTCACTGGAAAACCCATTGCGCAGAGAGCGGGAAAAGCGTAGAAAAATCGAAGAGTACCGGCTCTCTTAGGCCTTTGCAGGGTTGTCAGCCGCCGCCATTCGGCAATGGAATGATTTTTTCAATTAAACGTTTGATAGATGTTGTCTGAGGTATGCGGCTCAAGTATCTGAGTTTTCCGGGGATGCAGCCGCTACCCTTCTTCATTGGCGTGTGTGTGCTGCAATAGTATTTCCACATGACTTGCCACTTTCGAGGCCTTATTAGTTGCGCTTTTAAGAACGTTTAAAAGGCGATGATCCCGGTCCCGAGGGGTCAGAGAGTTCATTGGTAGGTAAACATATAGAGAGTCGCCCTGGATAAACATAAATGCGAACTGGACGCGTGGCAAATTTAATTTCAAATCGAAGTTTTTAGCTCCGTCACCGGGGTTTGGCGTCTTAACTGCAAGTCATTGTCAAAGCGAAACCTAAACCAAATTGCATTTTCTGCAGAAATTTGTACGGGTTGTGAGAGCTTTTCATCGGGGGGTATTTATGGCAGTGCAGGGGTTGTTGCATTAAAACAAAAGTAAAACTGGAAGGTCATTAGACTTCAAGAATATTGTATTAGTATCTAATTTTTTATAATATTATTTTAAGAACAAGAAAGGAAGCTAACTTCGGCACGCCGAAGTTTGTATACCCTTGCAGATATTATTTCATTACATTTTACCTATATTATTATGTTTACAGTTTGACAGTTACAGTTTCGCATTCCCAGCTTTACATTTTCTCTACATCTACCGATCGGTTTATATGGCAGCTATATGATATAGTTGCCCGATTTTTATGAAATTTCTACCAAAATTCTAGAATAATAAAAAAAGCTTATATCTCTGTGTAGATGAAAAAACGTTGAAAAACAACGAAGTTTTAATTTTTTCTATTAATTTCCCGATCGTTCCTATAGCAGCTATAAGATATAGTCGTCCGATTTTTATGAAATTTTTATTGAAAATCTAAAATAATATAGAATGGCCATATCTAAAAAATGGTGTAAAAATATTGAAAAACAACAAAGTTATAATTTTTTTCTAAAAATGTATCGAACTTTTGTATGGCAGCTATATGATAAAGTCGTCCGATCCGGCCCGTTCCGACATATATAGCAGTGAGAGTATATAGAAGACTATATGCAAAGTTTCATTCAGATAGCTTTAAAACTGAGGGACTAGTTTGCGTAGAAACGGACAGACGGACAGACGGACGGACAGACGGACAGACGGACGGACAGACGGACATGGCTAGATCGACTCGGCTGTTGATGCTGATCAAGAATATATATACTTTATAGGGTCGGAAACGTCTCCTTCACTGCGTTGCAAACTTCTGACTGAAATTATAATACCCTGCAAGGGTATAAAAATAGTAAGCTGAGCGATGGTAACTCCAAGGTTAAAAGTTAATGAAATACACGGTAATACGTGATCCTAAATGTTTCCCAAGAATGTATCTAAATAGAAGATTTTAAACATTTTTTAACTAAATCTTATCACTATCATTGAATATTTTGTTTTAATTTTATTCCCTGAAGGTTAGTGGCAGGATTTCAAAAGTTACTCGAATGATTTCTAAGGTTACTCGACACCAGGTTTTCTATGGTCGAGGCAGTTGTTTTTCCTTTTCGTTTCTCCTTAAAAATAGAAAATTACAGTTAACTAATAAGTATTTAGGAGCCAACCACAAGGTATCCTATAGTCGAGGCACTATATTCGCTCATTTTTTTATACCATCGCTTGTGATTCTGGCATTGGGATTAGCCCAGAGAAAAATCGTATATAAGTGGCAACAATTGTCAAGCAGATGTAGCAAAAGCAGAAGCAGAAGCAGCAGCATCAACCCCTGGAGTTGAACCCGAAAAATGAACCCGAAACCCCTCGTACTCCTCGAGTCTCCTCCCTCCTCTCGGTCCTCCGGCAACCGCAAGAATAGCAGCAACAACACCATTATGACAATGTGTGACTGCAATGGCAATGACATTTCTTCTCACTCCCTCTGTCCCTCTGTCTCTCTCTCTCTGTCGCGCACATTGTCTTGCCTGGCTCATTTTTCACATATTTTTCGCAAAGTTGAAACTATTTTCGGAACGCACTAGGGTTGCTCGGGCTCCCGCTTCCTTTATTATAGTTTTTGTTGCCATTGCCGTTGTCAGGCGACAGGCACTCGAAACCGTTAATTGGTTTTATTTTTAATGATGTTTAGGCGAGACGGTACCGTGGATATAGTGGGATATAGCCTGGGATAGACGAAAGGCGACCCACGCGCTCTTGCCTGCAATTATTTATGTAAATTCTGGGCGTTGCACTGACGTGATTTATGTCGCCTTTTCTTTCATCGCCGGCGGCCGAGCGGAGTTTACTGTAAAAACAATTAAACAGCTAATTGACAGGGCTGCTTAAGATATAGTACTATATTTATGGACAGAAAAGGGAAGAAAGAAGTGGAAATAGGATCCAGCGGGTCAATTGATTTCGGTAGCTGCCATTGTAATGGACCCTTGAAGGCCTCTCCAAATAAAGTGCCGCCGGAAGTAAAATGTATTTTTGAAAATACAAACTTCAAGTGAAAGATGATTGGGTAAGGTATAGAAAAAAAAAACAGTGAAACTATAGAAAATAGAAGTTTTTGTTATAAAATTGCATTTATATTTGTTTAAAGATTATCTATCTATGCATTTGATAGATAGAGAGAGAGAAATATTTATTACTTATATTATAATTGGTTTTCTTTCTTAAGAAAGATATGCTTAAATTTATATTAATTGCATCCGCAATCTAAGTGCCCACAAAATGAGCCCCAACTATTTTGTAGTGTCCTTTGCCGTGCGCAGAACCCTTTCACCTGCACTCGGTTGGCCCAACAGGTGTGTCCTTGTCGTAGGGCACAAAAACACCGGTCGCTCCGGCCTCCAGTCTGTCGGTCCGTCAGTCTGTGTCACTCCGTCCAACTGTCACTCTGTCAGTGCGCCGGCTTTGAGCGATTCAGTGCACATTAACACCCCAGGCCAAGACATAATTTATAAGCAAATGCAGTTAAGTTTCCTCAGGAGGATCTCGGGAGCCGGCGATGGCGATGATGAGATACTGTGCGAATCCCACAAATGCCGCCAAACAAAACCAAGCCGGCGGCGAGAGCTAAGAGGGAGAGAAAGTAGAAATCTCACCGAGACACAGAGAGAGAACGAGAGAGACAAAGAGCGATAAGGCGCAACTCTCTCTCACTGGAAATCGTATAACACTTGGGGTATAACACACGATGCTGAAATGTATCTCGCGGATATCCTCGCTGGGGACATCCGTTAGTTTGCGAGCGTTGGTCGTCAGCATCGGACGTGCGTCGTGGCCCAACCCAGAAATATAAACACCTTGTCAGAGGGAAATCGTGCGGCGTGCGTAAAATTCTTTGGAAAATTCTCCAGGGGCGGTGGTAGTAGTAACTTTTTCGCGACTGCAACTAGACAAAATAGTCGCGAATCGGGAAAGCGGAAATCACCCCATTAGCGGAACTCATTCAAGAGTTTTTGTGCGGAGTGTGCCGAGTGCGCAGACATGTCAAATATGCACAACAAATACAAATACGCGACAACACAACAACAGGGCAAACATCATTAATTGCTCGGGCCGGTGAAGTGCGTGCCAAGTGCGTTCGATTTAAAATTTACGGAATAAAAATATATACAAAATTAATTGCATTTCAAGCGTTCTTAAATACGCATCAATCGGCTGGATTTTCTGCGGTTTCATCCCGGCGAAACATAAACAACAACCGAAAACACTCAAGCGGAGGTGTAGTGAGTGAGTGTGCGAGTGCGGCCAGCGTTTCGGTGGGTCGCCCGCTTGTTGTGCGCGCAATTTCCGGTTTCCGCTTCCGCCGGAGCAGCGTCCGTGTCCGGCCGACTAGGCGCAACATTAATTTGCCAACGCCAACTCCAGCAAATAAAAAAAGAGTAATCACAGCTCATAGAAAACAACGAGCCACTAAGAAGATAAACAAGACAGAAAAGTGCTAGATTTCCGTCGAAAGAGAGTTTTCATCTAAAATTAACAATTTTAACCAATAAGTTTTTGGAATGAATGCAAGCAAAGATATGTTTTAAGCGAGAAATTCAGCCAAGTGTTTTATAATTATCAGGTTAGTGTGAAAGATCTTCATTTATCTTATTCTAAGGCGATAAACTCACTTGTGACCTCTGAGATACACGTTCCATATTTATTTTTGGGTGTTTTATTTCGCGTTTAATTTCTTGCCCTGCGCCCAAAAGTATGCAGCAAGCATATTTCAGGCGTGGCAGGTTGTTGGCACAAGAAGCGAAATACGGCAAAAACAAAACGAAAACGAAATGGAAATGGAAATGGGATGACAAAAGTAATGTGAATGTGTGTGTGTGCTGGGTGTTGGGTGCTTGTTTGTGTGTGTAAGACAAGCAATAAAATGGCAAGCGAGCGCCAAGTTTTTGCGCGCCAAAAAGCGTGCAACAACGCGAGTGGCAGCTATGTTTATGTGCCACATAAAACTAGCGCGGCCATGTCGCATTGTTGGCGAAACAGAACAAAGCAATAGACGTCCGGCACGGCAAGAAAATCTTACATTTCCTTTTAAAGTTTATTTTATTGTTTACATTTCGACACACTGAAAATAGGAAGGAAGGGTAACTTAATTTATTCTTCAGTTGTCAATAATTTTAATTTAATTATATTTTAAGATATAGGATGAATTTTAATATTAAATTTTTCTTCTGGCTACAAGATCTCACAATTTGGAAAAAGAAATTTTTGATAAAAATCAATTTTATGGCAATATCTGATAAAATCTATCGAGCTTAAATTTCTCAAATGAAATCGTTTTGTTTTTCTGTGCAAAAAGAGGAAACCCAAAATCCACAGTGCCGGGCAGTTTTATTTTATGAACTTTTATTGTGGTATTTGCCTTCACACTGGCCGTGCTTTTTGCAGTACTCTGCACTCCCTGGCTTTAGTAAACAATAATCATAATAATCGTAATCACAGAGCAGAAGGCAGAAAGCAGAGGGTAGGGACCAGAGAGCACCCAGCGGAAAGCAGAAAGCACGGCAAACAATGAGCCGGAGTCGCTGGCCTTTTTGTGCTGCCTGTTTTTAGGCGCCGCCTCGCACGTGTTTGTTCGCACCTAGTCAGGCACACACACACACACACAGAGACACGGACACGCGGGCACAATTGCATTCACACACATACGGATGGAGGCGAAGGTCCTTTTGTTGTCGTCCTGTCGCACTAAATTGCGCGCAATTGAAAGCATACTTTCAGGCGCCCGAGCATTTAGTTCGGTGCAGCCCAGTGCCTCGCATCCAGCATTTGAATGCCCACCCTTCGTCCTTATTTATCGCACTTCTCGCCAGCCTCTTAGTCGCTTTCAAAATCCCCAAAGGACGTCTGTTGTTGCCCTTTTCAGATTCTTCTTTCTTCTTTTTTGGCGCAGTGTGTAAAAGGTTTTTTATTATTAAATATGGCAGTGAGCATTAAAAATTTCTGGGCTGTCAGGGTTTCAGCTGCGAGATTACCTAGGGGAATGTTTGCCTTCGCCTTTACTTTTATCCACACATACACACACTTTTCGGGGTAAATTCTTGGGATTCTTGTGAGCTCGCTTTAAACTTTTGGCGAAAATTTAATTAATAGCCAGCCGGCACCTTTGGGGATTTTCGTAGAGTTTTCGGGGAATTTGGTGAACATTTCGGAGCATTTTCACTTGCCAAAAGATGCCTTAGCAGCGGCTAATTGACCTCAATTTTGCTAATCGATACTGCCTGAGCCAGCAGGGCCTTTTGTCTCCGGCAATAATTTCATTAGATTGGCCTCGTCTACCCGAAAATGTCTTCTCTCTACGCAGCCTTAATTAGATTAATGAAAAATAGGATTAGGCCTCAGTCAAAGGAGAAGAGAGAGCTCAGCCAAGCAGCTTAAATCAATTGCGCTGTGTGTGTGCTGCGTACTTATTTCCACTTTCGCATTTTCCCGCATCTTAAAGACATTCGCTTCGAGGGGCTTTTCATTTTTTCGTGGCCTTGGGGCCTTGAGGCAACCACAGAAAGTCCCCAAGTCTTTGGCTTGAGTCCTCATTATGCGTCGCTTAGCTGCCATTTGCCAGAAATGGCCTCCAAGAAAACAAAATTTCCATAGCTGAACGGAAAAGTCGAAAAATACTGGACGTGACACACAACAAATTCACAGCTAGCCACCCTCCTCGAGTCGCTTTTCATATTTTCAAATTAATTTCAGGGAATTTTCCCTACTCCAGGGCAAGTTTGGTTCCGTTTTGACATAATCTATTATAAGAACTCATAATAATTTTTGCTAAACTTCGTTTTCTTCGTTTTTTTCCCTCCTTTGTTTTTTATTTCATCTATGGGGGGCTGGATGCTTTTAATTGTGGGCGTGTCGGGACTTAATGAGATCGCCCGAAAACCTAAAGCCATTTGAATGTCCCTCGGGGGAGTGATTTCAAAGTGGAAAAATATTAATTAGTATTTGCACAAGGATCGCTCACTGAAATGTGTGCCAATACGTCAGCCCTAATAAATCAGAGAGCGTTCTGAAAAAAAGTTACCTTCCAAGGCTGGCCCAAACACATACGAGCTCATAACTCCTGACAGTGACTTATTACAGCATTTATATTCGTGTGTGTATATGGTTCGTCATAAATTTTATAGAACCAGAATCCAGGAAAGCTGGCAGCCTGGGCTAAAGGTTAAACCTGCTAACTAGGAACGTGTGGCCTCAGCTGTTTCGTTACACGGAAAAACCTTTTGTTAAATATCCTGGAAATACCTAAAGTAAAACCTACAAGAGCTTGGCTTTCCTGAAACCCAATTAGAGCAATATTTACCCCAAAGTGCTCCATGTTTCTAAATTCTAAATTATTCTGCTATCTCTTGGCAGACCTTAAACAATATTTTTTTGGACCATTCCCAACTATTGCTCTCCGAAAATTAACCCTGCCCTTACTCATGCATATTCATGCATTTTTTCCGCACTCTTTGTAACAATTCCATAAATTTCGACCATTTTTTAGAATTATTTTTCGGCGCCAGATATTTCTAAACATTTACGTAGCAATATTTTTCAATATTTTGCCAACGAAAACTAAGTCTATTGTTGGCATATTTTGCCAATTTCAGCTGTTCAACTGAGCTTTAACATACTTCAGCCTCCCTCTCCAGGCTCTTAATGCTTTTAGCTAAAAATTTTGCCAGTTTCGGTGCCAAAAAATGCAAATTTAAAATGCGTTGGCATGTCAAAAATCCACACAGGGTGCAGCTTGGCAGACAGGCGGCCACAGGGGGTGAAGAAAATCGATAAACGAGACAAGTGTGTGTGTGTGTGTATGTGTGAGAGTATCTGTGGGGTGAGCTTTTAGTATCTTTTGCAATGCAACTGCCATACACGAAATTTGGCAAACTCACAATGCCGAAAAGCGGGAGGAATAAACAGATATATGGAGAGAGAGAGAGGGCGATAAAAGAGAGCCAACAACAAATAGCTTAATAGGAAATAGCATAAAAGCGTACACCCCCAACCACCCAACACCCCTCCCCTCCTTCTCGGCTCACCCATATCACCAGCGTGGAAAAAAGCAAAGAAAGGAAAATCTTTGCACGTATCGCACTCAAAAAATCAGTAAACGCATTGGCATCTCTCCTCCAAGACGTTACTGTTGTTGTTGTTGTTGTTGCTGCGGTTGTTCTGCAAGGGTTGACTCATGGGTTAAGGGATGGGTGGGGAGTAGGAAGGAGCTAGAGAGGGTTAAGGTTTTTTTTTCGGGGGGTTTTTCTGCAGCTTATCGGAGAGAGCGCGCTCGTCGCCGTCGTCTCCTCCGAATATTTGGCATTAGTCAAATGCAAATTTTTATAGCTGCCTGTCTGTTTACTTGAAGCGCCGATAAGCCCGCGCATAAGCATATACACCAAATGGATTCGGGATGTGCCAGAATGGGAAAAGGAAAGAGGGTCGCTCCTCACCCCTTGTCCCGCAGAAAGCGTCACTGAAAATTGCTTGAATTTCCAATAAAATCAAGCGCCAAAATGTGACATTTTAGAGCTGAAACTTCAAGGAAAAGAGGTCAATTGTAAAGATTTTAAGCAGTAATCATAATAATAATAACACTGAGAATAATGTTGAATAATGACAATAATAATATAAGAAGCTAGTAATTTAATTTGATTTGCGTTTACTTAAATATGTATACTTCTTGATATATTTTCGGACAGCTTCTAACATAGTAGAATTAAACTATGGCTTCTAATATGTTAAAGTAGTGCTGGAAAAACATCGATGTTTGTGAGTGCTTTCATAAAATAACATCGATTAATAATCGATGTTTAAAACAAATGAAAATCTTTTTTTCTAATGGATCTAGTATGCCACCAACTCTCCTTATTCTGCAGCCATCACCAATTAAAATCTTAAATTGAAGGAAATTCATAAAAATACCTGATTGTTAATATAAAACAATTGAAAATAATCGATGTTTGACAAGTGAACATCGACGTGGCCCGATTTTTTGGAAACATCGATTGTATCGAATAAAAATCGATTATTATATTATATAATTAAATACAAATCTTAAATATAAACCACAATTTGCAACAAGTTTTGGGAACTTAAACTACTCAAAAAAATACTTTATAGTCCTTAAACATTTATCAAAATTATTTTTATTTGGTATTCCAACTATCCATTTATGTCAGAATACATATTTTTATATTTTACATGGTTTTCTACCTTCCTATAACCATTTTTAATCGAATTTCAAACCGGGAACATCTTCTGACGCAGCAATATAATTTTTAAAGGTTGCCCCGTAATATGCCAGTAGCAGGCACATCAGTGATGGCCAACAACAAAAACATTACCGCCTAACGGAAGCCGAGTCAAATGAACAGCAATTCCTCCAGCATCTCCTACTTCCCACCCACCTAACCCACACAGCCACACACATGGCCAACAAATATCGCACACATACACAAGAGCGCGTATCTTGGCGCTCTCCGCCTGGAAGTAGGCAATAAGCAGCGTGTTTATGTGTGTGATGCAAACATTTTAGCGTATTTTTATTACACACACAGGGGAACACATGCTATGTGTGTGTGTGTG